GAGCCGCCGAGGAGACCATTGATGGGATCTTCCTCGCGGGCCTGGGCCCTGTTGACCCTCTTAGGCTTTAACGTTGAGGATGCCAGGGATGAGGGCACCCGCCAAGGAGGCCGCCCTTCTTGCCACCGCCGGCACCACCGAGAAGCTGCTTGAGAAGGTCGAGGATGGGGTCCTCCCTCGCGGGCCTGGACCTTGTTGACCTCCTCAGGCTTAACGTTGAGGATGCCAGGGATGAGGGCGCCGCCGAGGAGGCCACCCTTCTTATCGCCGCCAGTAGCTCCACCGAGGAGCTGCTTGAGAAGATCGGTGATGGGATCCTCCTCACGAGCCTGAATCTTAGTCTCCTCCTCAGGCTTCACATTAAGGATACCGGGGATGAGGGCGCCGCCGAGAAGGCCACCCTTCTTATCGCCGCCAGCGAGCTCCACCGAGGAGCTGCTTGAGAAGATCGGTGATGGGGTCCTCCTCACGGGCCTGAAGCTTGTTCTCCTCCTGGAGGGTCTTCAGCATGTGGATGACGGAAGCGACAGTCTCGTCGTCGACAGACTCGCCGGCCACGTTACGGATGGGAATGATCTGGCCGATGATGCCCTTGGCAGCGTCAGTGAGGCCACCAATGATGCCACCGGCAGCGTCGATAAGCCCGCCAGCGGCACCAGAAGCACCAGAGGCGGCATCAGAAGCAGCGCCAGTGGCGCCGCCAAGGAGACCCTCGAGGTCGAGAGCCTCGGTGACCTGGCTCAGAGCAGAGCCGAGAACACCGGTGGCCTCATCAGCGACGCTGCTGGCGGTGCTGGTGGCCTTGTCGGCCTTGTCGCCGGCAGCGCTCGTGGCGTCTTTGGCGGCGTCCTTGGCGCCGTCGGCAGCGCCCTTGACGGCGTCGGTGACGTCGCTGAGCTGACGGCGGTTGTGGCGACGACGGGCACCCTTGGCCGCGGCGAGGCCAGGCACAGAGGAGGCGGGGATGGGGATGGGGAGGTCCCTGGTGAGCCCGCTAGCAGCACCCGTGACGGAGCCGACGACGTCCTTGGGGATGTCAGCGACGGCGCCGGCGCCGCCAGTCAGGCCGGCGAGGAGGGCGTCAACGGCGTCAGTGGCGCCGTCAACGACACCGCCGGGGCCGGTGATGCCCTGTGTGAGTCCGCTGGTTGCGCCGCCAGTGAGGCCGTCAACGAGGCCTGTTGCAGAGCCAGCAACGCCATCAACTGTGCTTCCCAGGCTTCCAGTGTCTGTTCAAGTCAGCTTGTTGCTCGGCACGGGAGTCGAGGTATCGTGGAAACTCACCGACAGGCACCTGGCGAGCCTCGTTGCCGGCAGGCGCAGTCATGGAGGGGGTGATGAACCCGGCCAGGGCGAGGGCCGTGATGGTAGCCTTGGAATGCATGATTGCGATCTTCGAGTGCCAACTTCTGTGTTTGTTTTGATTTTGCTGAAGATGGGAGAGGAGGAGGAGGAGGGGGAGGAAGATGCAGGTGGTGCAGGATAAGGAGCAGGAGGAAAGGGAGAAGAGGGCGGCGCGACAACCGTTGTTATATAGCCATATCTCTTAGCATCGCATCCATTGTCCAGAGATTATTCCTGACTCCCAGGTGGCAGCAAACACGCGCTCCGAGTCGCCATGTTCCCTCATCACCAGGCCAGGGCAGCACACGAAGCTGCGTCGCGCCGAAGGGTGCATTCCAGGATCGCAAAGAATTCAACATCGTCGATCCTGTGGTAGGGTGTGACATGTCTCAGCGGGCGGCAGTCGATGGAGAGACATTTTCGGCAGATCGAATTTTTGGCGGGGAGGATGTGATGGGACCTAAAATAAAGATAGTGAGACACATTGCTGACGCGGGCCTCTCTGCGGTTGAGACGGCGCCTGCCAGGTCGGGGAGCGCTCCCTTCATGCCTGGCGACACGACGCCGACGACCCGTGATGGTGCGGGCTTGACTGTATTGGCACTGCGAGGTGATGATCACGGCGTTCCTGAACGCTGTTGGACGGGGATGTGTAAGAAGCCCATGCTATATACTACTTACTGGTGGTCGTGTCAGTTCAGAGACCATCTGAGGCCAAGATCTGTCGACTCGACGTGCCCCCCGTCATCATAGTCAGTCTACCCCGCCCGAGTCTGGTAAAATTTGGTGCCATCACAGCCTGACTTCATGTGCGCGACGAGCGCTGACACCGAATGATGGAGTCACCATGGTAAGGGGCCGCTCAGGATGGAATGTTGAGGAGCCGTGAATAGGTCCTCGCTAGGACGGAGCTTCCCCGGACTGACAGAACCTTAACATTGCTCACAATGGTGTCAATCACTGGGAGCAGAACGGGACGCTAGCACCCCCCACGGGAATCAAAATCCCGCGCCTTGGATGGCTCGAGAATGCCCCTGTGGACCTGATGGTGTATTGCGGGACGACGTCCGGTCAACGTCATGTCGGCACGGGTGCGGCTGGCCGGAGCCTTGTCGCGGCTCCCCAGGCAGCAACGGCGCATGGACTAGACAGCGTAGTTGCCGTTCTAACTCTGTAGACTCAGAGTTACAGGTTGCTGGAACTGCTCCCGTGGTAGCTGATATAAGGAAGTGTTGAGGCTCAAAAACGCCGAGACCAGTCCGGCCAATGGCGTGTCGGATCGAGTTGGACAGAGCTGAAAGCATGGACGACGGGGCCATAGCTCCCGACGGATGGCTTTTAGCCAGGTGCCTCGCGGGGGTTCGGTCTGTGCCTTGCGTGGATAAAATAACGTGCCCTATGTTAGACGGTGCCTTGTGACTGGCTGTTTCGACAGGTAAAGCTTGACAAGCGTGTGACGGTGTGAAACAACGAGGTGGAGGTGTCGGAACTTTGGATTTCGTCATTTTTGTTGATTTCAAACACAAAACTCGTGCTCGTAAATATCGCGATGATACGAGGGCGGGCTTGGGACGGAATATGCCAGTCTGATGTGGAGAGCAGTGTCCGCCGCCGCGATAGCCTCCATCGTCATTCTGTGATCTAGGCATGGCTGCGTATTGGCCCACTAGCGATGCTGCGAACGAGGGCTCAACAAAACCCTGTTTCTAGGGGAGAGCGTTTTGTTTGCAGCATCTCCAAGGGTTTTGTGAGAGAAATATGCCGTGGTGCGACCGAACACATTGGCTGGCCTCAACATTGTCGACGACATGTCGTGATCCACAATCTGTAATAGCAGCGTGGGACGGGAACAGGCGATGGAGATTGTCCCGAGCTCCTTGCTCGCAGCTAGATTCTCGCAGCTAAAAGGTATTCGACATGGTGTTTTTCTCCTCTTGTTTTCTCTGCATTCGATTTTGATCAATAGAACATCGATAAAATGGATGGGCATTGTCATAAATGAGGGAATTCAATGGGCGAGTTGTATAAATTCAGCATAGGAACCGCATGAGATCTCTGTGTACTTCAACAAGGAAAAAAAAAATGACCACGATGGCCTCGGTCAGGGAGCATAAGCCAAAGAAACGCGTCCTGCTCGCCAGTTCTAGGAATATGGATTTAACGATGCTGATCATGGGAACCAGAATGACGTGACAGACAGTCTTGCCTCCGCAGGATGGGACGACCCACCCCGCCTTCGGCAGGGCTTGTCATCCCGATCATGGCCGTCACGGTGACACACGGAGATGCGATGCCCAGCCATTTCGGAGGCCCAGCGGGAGCCACACTGGGTCTTCGGCCTCAAACGCCGAACCGGACGGCCCCGGCCTTGTCGGTCTGACTCAGCACGGAGAGTCGGCACATGGTGTGTGCGCCCTCTGGTGACTCGCGCTGTTCGGGGCCTAGGCCGCATGGATTGTCGGCAAAGCGGCACGAATGCGGGCCGACGTCACCACTTTATCGGGCAGACAGGGTGGGGAGCTTGGGCAATGGCAGGGGCAGGGCAGGGCAGGGCAGGGCAGGGGCAGGGGCAGGGGCAATGGGACAAGGAAGGCGGATGCAGTGCAAAGTCGGATGCACCTGGCCTGAGAGCATGCATTTGGGGAGCTCCTTCTTCTCTCGGGGTTTTGACCGTCAACTCTCAATCATCGTCGTGGATGATGCTGGAGGATGCTTGGGCGATGCGATCTCACGTTTCTGACCCACGATGTCCTTGCACACCTCGGCCGCCGCAGCGCCGACATCCGACACCAATACGACGAACCACTTGATGGACGCCGTGCTTCCCAAGATGGAAAGCCCCAAGCATGGCATTACACGAATCGCTAGGGGAGAAGAGTCCTAGCGTTGCTGCACCCCACCAACCCGCACACCACGCCATTACGATGACTGGATCACCCACGCGGCTTTGATGAGCTTAGGAATCAGAACCCTGTGACGCCCCGAAGAAGCATCTTTCTCTTTCGCTCGGGGATTCTTTCTTCGTGCGTCTCTGCGGTCCATCTCTCTTTGCGCTCTTCTCTGCAACAACCCGTCCTCAGCTTGAGCCTGAACCAGTGCGCCTGCCCGGAAACATCGTCATAGTCCAATCAGTCGAATGTCCTCTGAGAAAACGGACACGGAACGACACGCAGACAAAGACCCGGCACGCAGACAACGACGTGCTGCCGATGACGCCTACGACTGCCATCTCGTAGCGAGACCTCCAAGGCCAACGGGTGGCTTCCAGGAACACATCACGACACAAAGGGTGGAATAGCTCGCCAGGCGCTCACCATCGGGACGACATTCATCTTTCCCCTTAGATTGACACAGCACCGTTGCTCTGCTCCGTCGCCTGGTAGAGTCCTCTGAAATGGCGGACCACAAATCCCGTCCGGAAGGGGACGAGAAGCCATCGTACGATATAGAGCGCGATGCAACCTCGAGTACCGATGACTCAGCTACCATCCATGCACCAGCACCAGCGTCTGGCGACACGGATGGCAGATCGACCGCCGACCTCGAGGGCAAGACGGCCAACCCAGACAGTGCCTTGTCTCAGTCGGCCGAAGCTGAGGCCAGCGCCCCGAGCGACGAACCAGAAGCCGGTCGCACCAAACTGCAGACCACCGTCATTGTTGGTTCCCTCTGCGCGGCTCTGTTTCTGTCTGCTCTCGACATTACCATCATCACGACCGCCGTCCCGACGATTGCCCAAGAATTTCGATCGTCGGCCGGCTTTGTCTGGATCGGCTCTGCCTACACCCTGGCCAACGCTGCCTGTGTGCCCATTTGGGGCAAGGTCTCTGATATTTTCGGCCGGAAAAACATCCTCCTGACCGCCATTGCCGTCTTTTGGGTGGGCAGCTTGCTGTGCGGCGTCTCTGTGAACATGGGCATGCTCATCGGTGCCCGTGCAGTTCAAGGCATCGGCGGCGGAGGCATCATCGTACTCGTCAATATCTGCATCAGCGACCTCTTCTCCCTGCGCCAGCGCGGCTTCTACTTTGGCATCACGGGCATAGTCTGGGCCTTCTCTTCGGCAGTCGGCCCCGTGCTGGGTGGTGTCTTTACGAGTCAAGTCACATGGCGATGGTGCTTTTACATCAATCTGCCCATCTCCGGCGTCGGCGCCGTGGCCTTGTTCTTCGTGCTCAAGCTCCATAACCCTAGAACACCGCTCGGAAAGGGCCTGCAGGCCATTGACTGGGTTGGCTGTCTCACCATCATTGGCGGCACGCTGATGGTCCTGTTTGGCCTCGAATTTGGCGGTGTCAACTTTCCGTGGGATTCGGCCACCGTCATTTGCCTGCTCGTGTTTGGCGCCGTGACCATTGGCCTGTTCATCTTCAACGAGCTCAAGTTTGCTCGCTACCCCGTCATCCCCTTGCACCTGTTCCGCGATCTCTCGACCGTTGCCTGCTTCGTCCTGACATTCTGTCACGCATTTGTCTTCATCTCTGGCAGTTATTGGCTCCCACTGTACTACCAGGGCGTCCTCGGCGTGTCCTCGCTCTTGTCTGGCGTCTACCTTCTTCCTTATGCCGTGTCCCTGTCCATCTCCTCCGCCATATCCGGCTGGCTCATTCGAAAGACGGGCAACTATGTCTACCTCATCACCGGCGGACTAGCTATCATGACCTTGGGTTTCGGCCTCTTCTATGACCTGCCTGGCACGCCAAACTACGCCAAGATTATCCTCTATCAAATTGTTGCCGGCATTGGCATTGGCCCCAACTTCCAGGCCCCGCTCATCGCCATTCAGACAAACGCAGAGCCTCGCGACATTGCGTCTGCGACCGCTACTTTTAGTTTTGTTCGCCAGATCGCCACCTCCATCTCCGTCGTCATCGGAGGCGTCGTTTTCGCCAACGAGATGGACTCGCAGCGCCCGCGCCTCGTGGAGGAGCTCGGCCCCAGTCTGGCCGATCAGCTGTCCGGTCACAATGCTGCCTCCAACGTGGGCCTTGTCGGTGATCTCAAGGGTGACGAGGGCCGTATCGCTCGAGGTGCTTTCCTCACTAGCATGCGGACCATGTTTATCGTCTATGTTGCCTTTGCCGCCTTTGGTCTCGCCGCGAGCCTGCTCGTTCGCCAGAAGAGACTGAGCAAGGATCACAAAGAGCACCAAACTGGCCTCAAGACGTTGCGAAGCCGCACAGATCGCAGCCCTGCCAACAATGATAAGTAGCAAGCAGGGCCCACACTCTATTTGTTTCACACTTTGTTCTCACTTTGAACTTCGATGACTCTGATGCATACACTGGGCGCGCATGGCGTTTGGGGGCACACATTACTGCTTACATTATTCTCCCCTTCTTCACGACGCATGCATCTCCACTACTCCCCTCATCCATCAACCATTCAGCCTGAATGAGCTGAAAACTAACCACCGTGTGGTCGCAACACCATGAGACCTCGTCTATGGCGGAACGGTCGACGGCGACTCAAAGTGGCCATCACGGACGTTGCTGGTTTTTTTATTGCCGACGCGCGCGCAAATGGGCCCGACGTGGGTTTCCGCTCGCCCGATGAACACATTCGCAGCAATGAGGAGCCTGCAAAGGCGTCGCCTTGCCCTTTGCCTGGCAAAATACGGCATTGCCGGCCTTCGACTCCGCGCGGCACCGATATGGTCTAGCCTCTGAGGGACCTGCAAACCCCCGGATTTTACGTCGCATTAGTGCCCAGCGGCTCCACCAACAGACGTGAAGCTCTCTTCCAGCAGCATCCGGCAGTCATACCACAGCTACAGCATCAGGCGCGGTTCGACTTCAGTGCAACACGAAGCAGTTGATACCAGCTGTGGCTCGCAACACAACTCCCTGCGTCGGAATGTATTGGCGGCACGGCAGGCGGATGCGCCATGGTGTAGACCCTTCTGCGATGCCTCGCCGTTCAGCCATCTCCATCGGCACCCATGCCTCAATCTATATGCGAGTCGTGAGGGGCATGCTTCGACCCTGATGCCCCCAGAAACGCAACAGGAACCCGGAATACCATAGTCCGCAGGTTCTCCGCAACCTCCACGCTGTCCATGATATATACCGTGTATATAATGTGTCAGTGGACTAACCATAATCTAATGTATTGTTATCTCCAAGGTCTTTGCTTCCTCTTTGTGTGTGTATCGTCGCCATGCGTTTCCTCAGTACCCTGGGCTCCGGTCTCCTGGCCCTCTGTGCCACGGCGCAAGCTGCGTCGCTCCAGCAGATCACCAACTTTGGCGCGAACCCTTCGAATGCCAAAATGTACATCTACGTCCCTGACAATGTCGTCGCCACGCCTCCCATTGTCGTCGCCGTCCACTACTGCTCGGGCACTGCGCAAGCCTACTTCAGCGGCACGCCGTACCGCCAGCTTGCCGACCAGCACGGCTTCATTGTCATTTACCCCGAGAGCCCCTACAGCGGAACCTGCTGGGACGTCTCATCGCCGGCGTCGCTGACGTATGAAGGCGGCGGCAACAGCAATGCCATTGCCAACATGGTTCGCTGGACGTTGAGCCAGCACAACGGCGACGCCGCCCGTGTGTTCGTGACCGGCACCTCCTCGGGTGCCATGATGACCGTACGCTGACCCTCTACGGCAAACGGCCCCAATAAAACTGACCTGTCCAGAACGTCCTCGCCGCCACGTACCCGGACATGTTCGCCGCCGGCATCGCCTACGCCGGTGTGCCCGCCGGCTGCTTCTACACCGGCACCGTCAACGGCTGGAACTCGACCTGCTCGCAGGGCAATGCCGTCTTCTCCGCCGAGTTGTGGGCGCAGACGGCCCGCAACATGCGACCCGGCTACACCGGCCCGCGCCCCAAGATGCAAATCTACCACGGCGCCCTCGACACGACCCTCTACCCGCGCAACTACAACGAGACGATCAAGCAGTGGAGCGCCGTCTTTGGCTACCCTGGCACCCCCGTGTCCGTCGGTCCCGGCCCCAGCAGCCAGTTTGTGCGCGAGATCTACGGCGACAGGCTCCAGGGCCTCTGGGGCGCTTCCGTCAGCCACAGCGTGCCCATCCAGGGCGCCGAGGACATGCGCTGGTTCGGCATTGGCCAGGGCGGCACCAGCCCGCCGCCGCTGACCACCACCGTCCGGCCGCCCGCCACGACGACCACGAACGTCGCTGTGCCGCCGCCCGCTACGACGACGGCCGCGCCGCCTGGCGGTTGCTCGGCGGCGAGGTGGGGGCAGTGCGGCGGGCAGGGGTGGACGGGGTGCACCGTCTGCGCTTCGCCGTACACCTGCCGGGCTCAGAACCAGTGGTACTCGCAGTGTCTATAGACGTGTTTTCTGGAGGGGGACGTGATGGGAATTTGCCGTGGGGTGGGGGGACCAGGAGGTGCATCTTGAGGAATGAGTCGAGGGAGGGAAATTGGGGATTTTCCACAAAGGCAGCCCCGGGCGAGACATTGCCAATTGAACAGGCTCATTCGTGACGCTGATCCTTATCTCGTCATTTCCCCAGGTGTTCAATCAAGTACGCGGCATGTTTGGAGGGGCTTAAAAGGAATGCATGTCCGTGACGCCTCGGAGAAGAATGGAGATCATCCATCATTGAGGGGGATGCCTTTGCATGCGTTGCTGTTATTCAGCTGATCTGCAAGTTCCTGGGACCTGTTAAATTGTCATTGACTCGATTTTTTTCACTTCGTATCTGTTTCTGGCATACACACCCTCAAGCTCGCTGGGCCTGCTACACGCTGCTTGAACCCAACCTGGTGCGACAGATGCCCTTCGCATGGCGGCACTTGAGACTTGATGTCTGAATAGGCGTCGGACTGCTGCACATGATGTCCGAGAGGACAATGTTTGGTCGCAGCTGAGTGTTGGCACTGACGAAACATCTAGCATATTTGGCACCATGACGCGATGCATGATCGGGTACGTGCGTCGAGACATCACTTCATGATTGATGCCAATTCTGACATATCACCAGGTGAAGCCAGGGCAGTGCATCAGATTCAGCACAGCTGATGATCCATTTTGATGTTGTCAATCTTATGTGCAGCACGAGACACCGGCAAGCGCCGATATCATCTTTCATACATACAAAGAATCGAAGTCCACTCCCCAGCCGACGAGCACGATGCCGAGCTTCACTGGATGTGCCCGCCCCTACAGATCCTGAAGTCCATGTATTCTTGCCTTGGTCTCGGGATACCTCACAGGCACTGGGAGTACCACTGGTTCTGAGCCTGGCAGGTGCCGGCAGAGCAGCACGTAGCACCGTTCCAGCCTGAGCCGCCGCACTGGCCCCAACGAGCGGCGCACTGCACATACCTCTTCGTCAGCAAATCTTTCTCATCTCACGGCACGCCTGCACGGGGGCTCAACTCACGCTGCCGCCGCCGGAGGGAGGAGGCGTGACGGGCGGGGGGCTCGGGGTCGTGGGCGGGCTGGGCGTCGAGGGCGGGGAGGGCGTGGAGCCGCCGCCGCCGGCGACGTTGATGCGCGCCGAGCCGCTGCTGAAGTAGCCCTCGGTGGCGACGACCTGGTAGTTGTGGGTGCCGAGGCGCATGCCGGCGGCGGTCCAGGCGTTGAAGAAGGTGGCCATGTTGACGGTGCCGCCGGTGCGCTTGACGTCGCGGACGGCCCAGTACTGCTGGAACGTGGCGGTGCCGTCGATCGACGGCTGGTTGGTGCGCGTGCTCTCGAAGAGGCGGTAGAGGGCGCCGTCGTGCGTGACCTGGCCACGGGCTGTGGCGCCGGACGAGGGGTTGTAGGTGCCTGTGTGTCCCGGTCAGTCTCTCACTTTCATCGAACCGGGCGGGCCATGCTCTCACCAAAGTTCTCAACGACGTAGTACTGCCGAGAGAGAAGGGATTAACAACATGTCACGGGCATGAACGCTAGACCACGCCCAGAATCGGCTCTGCTTACCTCGACCACTAGAGGAGTTAGCCATGGTTCTGAAAATCTCGTCATCGGTCAGATGATACTTACGAGGGTTGCGAGTCCATCCGTACACGGCAAGGTACGAGTTGCCGCTTGGTCGCATTAGCGCCCCTTGACCATTCATACATCACAGTGGTCACAGCTCGAACGTACTTGGGGTTGTAGGTGCCAGAGTAGGTGATGGTGCTGCGATGCGTTAGTTTTCGCGCGCTTCATCTCACGACAGACCCAACATACCGAGCACTACCGGGGTTCCAGCCCTTGCCGCCGACGAGGTTGCCGCCGTTGCTCCAGCTCACGCTGTACTCGCCGCCGGCGAGGTTGGTGTAGGTCGCGGCGGCGCCGCCGTCGGTCCACCATGAGTAAAAGTATCCGTCGTGCGTGCCCTGGCTGCTGGGCGTGCTCTGGCGCTTGGCGAGCTGCTCGTGGTCGACGGGGCTGGCGAACACGCCGGCAATGGCCGACGCGGCGACGAAGAGGGAAGAGAAGCAAACCATGGCGACAAGATCGACCTGTGATGAAAAAGAGAGTTGAAAAGATGTCAATCGGTGTCGACGAACAGGGTAACGTCGCGAAGATTTTCTCTTTATATTCTCGCCCCCCTTATCATTATCCCCGTTGCCCGGAAGCCCGGGACAACCATGTTCATGGCGCGCTCGGGGCAGCTGCCAATGTTGGGAGAAAACCCCTGCGATGCCCCTGTGATCTCCCCGGAACATCCTCCGTCGGGCTCCATGTCTCGATTGAGGCGAGGCCACAATCGCTCCGTGATCTAGGCCTTCAAGAGACAGAATGAACGGGTGCCTACATGTCTGTGGTACGAATCACCCGGTTAGCGATTGCAAGGCGGCGCCGAAGCTGGATGTTGACATGCATCCACAGAATGCATGATGCTCACGGGCTCGCAGCCAAGAGGCGACGAATGTCCTGCAAACAACCAAGGCGCAAGGGGGACGTGGGCATCGGCAAATAGCCTAAAACCCCGCAGCCTGTCTTGAGTAGATGGGAAGCACCCGAAAGAGAGGCCCCCCCCCTGTCACGGACAGCTCAGAGCCTCAGTCACCAGGCCCCGACGATGACACACGCGACATGGGCTTCTGCCCGGCTATTTCAACGGCACTCGGGACTTGGAAATGAAAAGAGTGGCGCTCGAGAGGCTGAAAAGTCGAAATGCCCGAGGCGCGATGCGACGCTGTACCCCAGCTGCCAAGCGCTGGACGACCCGGGGGGTTGCAGCGGCGGGCGAGCGGTGGCACATTGGGCGCGGTGCGGAGGGCTGGTCCGTGGCCCTATTAGTTGTAGGCCACTCTATGATGCTTCTCGTGATGTATACATATAGTGCGCGACCCCAAACTTGGGCGACGCGACTGCCCGGGTGAGGAGGCCGGGTAAAAGACGACGCCCATTTCGGGAAGCTCGACAGGCTATACTGGGGCCATTGAGGGTCTCTAGACGCTGACACCTGGCTAGCGCTCGCAGCCCGAGTCACGGGCTTGACTCAATCGAGGTGCCAGGGCCTGGAAATGAGCCTTATGCTGCCGTTGTGGGCTTTATCAGCGGTGCTGTGAAGGCCACATATATTATGAATGCATTGGTGGCATCCCTTGAAGGATTTGGCACTGACACAGCTCACACGAAGTACCTGTATTGAGTGACAACAATTGCCATGTTGTTGTCAAGCCCTCCAATGCGCTGGACAACCTCAGATACACAGTCATGGAATGCTCTTCCACTAGATGCGTGGGAAGAAGGTGAGACGCACTACGTGTATGGGTTTTCAGCTTGAGAGCGACGCTGTCCGGCTACGATCGTCTGGTTGCATTGGTCACAGCAGCTGGAAAAGTAGACCCTGGAAGTCAACATACATCTGTCAAAGAAGGCGCTGCTGGTGGTACATCCGGCATTTGGGAGGGGAAAATCTGAATAGATGAACTGCAATATATCATTCAGCCGGCGGTAGACTTGCATATTCCTTGAACTCTTGGGATCTGGCCGGGAGCCTCTTCCGCAATCACTGCCCTTCCACGTCTGCGGGTGTCATGGATGATCTGAAGGAAGCGCCTAGTACACGCGACTTGGCCACCAAAGCTCTGCCAACTATATGTGTTGACCACCTGCAGCCAGGCCAAGCGGTCAAGTCCGAACTCCGAGTGATGGCCCTGGGAAAATATTTCTTCATGCGCAGAATTCCGTTGGCCCGAAGGATCAGTGCGTCACCATAATCTGGACAGTATCCGTTGTTTGTTGATAAGAATCACATTCACCAGTCGCTATGCCCTTACAAGTCGTTATGCCCTCAGCTGTAGCAGTCTGAGAAGATTAAAATTGAAATTGTTCCGTTTGCTCCGTCAGAAATCTATAGCTCCGCTACCAATTGTCCTCCGGGCCCTGTGGCTTGGAATGCGTCGGATCTGGAGGAGAAGGGCTGTCCAAAGACTTCATCGGCACAAGCCGCGTCTCGTCGTGGAAGTCGACGTTGAAGCTCTTGGTGAACATGATGCCTTGGGACACGCCTTCCGGTCCGTCGGACGACGCCGACTCGGCATCCCCCCGATCCCGGTTGCTGCTCCTAGCGTGTGACTCGGTGCCGAAGTGTCTGCGGCTGCGGTGGTTGCCCGTGTTGCTGGCAGACTTGACGTAGTAGCGCGAGAGGTCGGAGGTGCCCTGGCGGGTGCTGCCGAGGATGCGGGGGAAGAAGTGGACGAGGATGAGGCGCAGGGACGGCATGCAGGCGCAGATGATGCCGACGTTGATCTCGATCGTGGACCAGGTCAGGATGCCGAACTGATCCCACGTCGGGTTGCGCGTTTTGGCAAAGGCGACGAGCGTCTGCAGACGGAGGATGCTGACGACGGTGACGCTTTGGGAGAAAACGATTATTAGGTACCCCGGCTTCGGAGGGCTACGGGTGGGGGAACTCACAAGGTGCCGACGCAGAACATGAGGGTGACGCCAATCTTCTTCTTCCAGTGCAGCGTCAGGGTCGTGATCTGGGACAGGGGCAGCGTGAGCATCCAGAAGTCGAGGACGATGGTGATGCCGGCATTGGCCCAGACAATGGCGTTGATGTCGAGGCAATGGCCCTGGTGCTCTCCGTCCCACGAGGTCCAGAAATAGCTGATGGGCTTGCACTGGAAGGCGGCGATGAAAATGAAGACGACGCCAAAGGCGGCATTGAAGATCATGGTGCCCCATATAAACTTTCTGATGTCGGTATGGCCGAAGATGCGCATGTAGAAGAACAAGATGGACGTCTTCAGGAGGGCAATCTGGGCAAAGTAGAGAATCTCCTGGATGTAGAAGAACTGGATCAACCGCGTAATGTTCTCAAAAGGCACGGTCCAGATATCTTTGCCAATGCCGTTCGACACGAAGCCGAACGAGTTGAGAAACGTTGACGAAAGCCCGACGCAGAGGAGAAGTAGGATGAACCAGTCATCGCGGCCCAGGCTTGTCGGGGCTGCAAAATGCTGATAGGCGATTCGGAGAGCGACGACGGTAGTTGATATCGCGCCGAGGGAGGTGGAAATGGCGTTGAACTTGGCGGAGCGGTCACGCACAGGAGCTTGGCAAGAGGTCGCTGTGACGTTCTGGTTGACTGGATGGTGTCCGTCAGTATATGTTATTGACCTCTGATCAAGTCAAGGGAGGTCTAACCTAAAGCGTCCTTGACGGTGCATGACTGCAACACGCAACCCTGCACGCTGGCCTGCAATGGCTTGTCTTGGCAGATACACGCGGTATCAGTAGCTGCGCATGTCGAACGCTCAAGGGCAATGCCGAGACACGATGTCTACGGAGTGATTAGTCGTCCAGTATCGTGACGCAACGAAGGGCTGTAGTGTGGGGGGAGTCTTACTGCGCAGGCTGGAAGATCAGTAGTGTTTTGGGCTGCAGCCAACGTACACCAAACGACCAGACACAGTGCTGTCAGTGAGAACCTCATTGTGAGGAGTGACGTTGCTTGAAGCGTGATAGAATGTCGTCCACCTCGTGACGATCGGCTTTGATGAACACAATTCAACTCCTGGTTGGCGAAGGGTTCAACCTGCTTAGACCATCGCCGTCGTTTTGGGAAAAAGGTTTGGGCGTCACTCTTCTTTGACGAACCGCGACGCGGAGAGAAGGGGAGGAGGACGTTGGTCTTTTAGGAGTCGAGTCCGTCTTCCGGGGTCGGTGTGGTGTCCCAAGACAGGCAGATCAAACCAACTAACAAAAGTCTGACTCTATCGGACGAAGGGTTGCCAGACCCAGCAAGGGCGTTACTGGCGTATCTAGTGGAGATGGCTCTCGTTGGCTGGCAGGCAATGGTCCAGAGCCTGGGCCTGAGTCTCGATCTGCAAGCGACGCCTTAGCTCGTCCCCATGGCGGAGTTTCTTCACGAGGAGGTGTCCCCGGCAGGCACATTTGGATCTTGTAGCGAGCAATTCTTGCGTGGCAACTAGGGATTTTGGAAGGGAGACAGGGAAGGCGACTTGCCGACGGGCCATGGCTCGCAGAGTTGTCAGCGTAAGGAACTTTTCACCGCTCACCAAGCGACCGAGCCATCGGTTTGGTGCATGTTGGGCTTTTCTCCGGTGGTCGGTTGGTACCCAGATCATCAGCCCTTGCTGTTCCCAGGCGGCCGGCACAGCGATTCGCGAAAACGTTAAGGAGGGATCGACAATTCTCAGGGGTAAGCGAGTACATCATGCCCCATCAACGCATGTTAGTCCCATTTGAAATTGATCGATCGTACCCACCAACACAATGACAGAGCTGTCGTCGTGTATCACAGGCGCGAGTCGTTCACCATGCAGTGGCTTTTGACAAGTGGTGGCGATGTGGATGCGGCAAGCATCCCACGAGAGTCAAGCAGAAGCGGAAGGATGACCCGTTGGCAAGTAAGGTCAAGGATCATGTAATAGCCAGGGTGGACGCTCGGGGAACGACTTCCGGTGTTCGCGAGACGACTCGCCGCAAAGCCAGTCAGGTGGAAATGAAGGAATTACCTGTACCAAAAGCTCCCGACTTGCCTCTCAGCCCCACGGGGCGTATTCCCCAGAATGACTCGTGGCAAGCCCAGCTGTCGCGGCCGTGCGTGCCCACCCCTCATGTCACTATTGAACCGGTGCCCTGGGGGCGCGCCGGCTGACAAGTACTCGGACGGGCAATCCTCTCGGCGGGTCGCTAGTCTTCGACTTGTGCTTTGTGTTTGTTGAGGAGGCTGAAATTTAGCCCACGACGAAGAAGCTGCTAGGCATTCGGCAGTCGTTCAATCCGAGAAAGACAAATGCTCGTAGGCCAATTACTGCTGCTCCTGGCGCCCACGACCTGGATCATACCGCGCATGGCATGCGAAGTTGAACGTCCCATCTGATTACTGATTGACCTCCCTAACTCCTTCACATTTGTATCACTAGCAAACCTTCGCCGTCTGCGACGGAATCTTACGGGCTAGGCCTGTACAGTCCAGTCCGATGGCGGGGTAGAACGTCAGCCGCGACCAAAGCACAAGGACGCCCGACAAGTCCCACAACATCAGACTATTCCGAGCACAGATTCGCGATACTGTCTGAAGGGCGGCGGTACCCGGCCCGACGGTCGACCCCACACGGCCCAAATGAAGCTTTTAGCTAGAAGGGAAATGATCGTTTCTGCTTCTCGTTCTCGATGCGACGAAGCTCAACCGTCCAGTCCAACTGCGAAGTTTGTATCGCAGAGTGTAACATGTGTTGTAGTGAGAGGAATGAAGTAGGCTCGCCATGATAACAGAATATAATTGCAACTTTCTTATGTATACTCAACAATCCGAACTGGTGTAATGGCTAACATTTGACGCTCTCACCGTCAGGCTCAGGGTTCGATTCCCTGGTTCGGAATACTTTTGCTTTTGCTCGTCACGTCACAACACCCAAGAACCGCACGACAGGATATTGTTTGTTAAGCAAGCTGTTGAACCCCATCTTTTGTGGTGACCCAAACTGAGTGCCTTGAACTACCGCCTGATGTGCCGAAACTGCCTTTTAATGGAATTGTTGTTGCAACTCCATCGTAACTCCCGATTCACACTCCATCCTACTCCTCCTTCGCCTTGAGCATTGTCTGAGTATACTCGGATCCCACCCGGAACCACCACCCCGAAATGAGTAAGACGAGGCCCCCAACGACGACGCAAGTATAGTTCATGTTCTGGACAGTGACCGGCTGGACGTAGGGGAACGAGAAGAAGACGATGGCAAATGTGAGCCAGCAGACCGTGACTGTATTGACGATCGGGCCGACCCTATTGCTCATGTGGAAAACGCCACGATGCATGTTTCTCCGACCGGTGAGGAGGTTCGTCAGAATTGGGACCATGTAGGACATGTTGTTGATCGTAACGGCAGTGCCAAGCAACGAGTTGAAGGCTGTGGACGATCCGAGGTAGAGGCAGCCGAGGAGCGCGACGACTGTAGTCACGGCAATCTGCGAGTTCAGGGGGATTTGGAGTCGAGGGTGCACTTTGGCCCAGCTGCGTGAGGAAAAGGTCAGCGATAAAGCTCTCAGCCATGTCATTGGGAGCGACTAGACTCACATCCTGGAGAACGGCATGGCGCCATCACGAGAAAAGGCCCAGAAGACACGGCCTGTGCTCAATTGGGAGCTGACGACACAAGGGCCCAGAGCGACGAACAAGATGAAAGTCAGGCCGAACGCGCCTCCTGCGTGCTGCGTGACTTGACGGAAGAGCTCCGCCAGCGGCAGGCCCGTGTTATTGGTGGTAAGTGCGTCAAAATCCTGGATGGAGAACATGAGGGTGATGAGATAGGTGATGCCAGTACAGAAGGCAATGGTCAGGGTGATTGCGATTGCAAGAGGGGCATTGCGCGACGGCTGGTGTAAGACGGGAATTAGCTGTCTGCTTCATGCGGTACCTCTAACTCACGGGTGACTTACGTTGGGCATCTCCTCGGTGATGTGAGTGACACCATCCAAGCCCCCAAGACTATACAGAGGGTTGACGAGACCGGTGATGAAGCAGATGACCTGGTTCTCCCAACCGGTATTGTTGATCCATGTCCCGAAGACAAACTCTGCACTGCGGTGCGTAGGGGCACACGCCGCCACGGTGATCAAAACTACGAGCCATCCGATTTGGAGGTAAAACAAGGAGAATTTGTTCAGACCGGGGATAATGCGGTTGCCGAACATGACGATGCTGGCCGTGATCAGGTTTAGCCCCTGATACACGATGAACGTTTGCCAAGCCTTGATTTCAAGGGTCTCGTTGTACAAAGCAATCAATGCCATGAGAATTTGGGCGTAGATAATGTTTGTCGAAGCAGTGGTGAAAATCCCTAAAAAGACTGTTAGTGATCAGCGTTTCCTTGCATCATGTATGGAACGTCATACAGCCAAGCACGCTGAACCAGCCTGTGAAGAAGCTTAGGGGACCGGTGGCCCTCCGGGGCGCAACAGCAGCGATCCAGTGGTACATGCCTCCCTCGGTCGGATACGAGGAGACAAACTCGGCCAGTGAAGCACCGAGGAAGCACTGCAGAGTTGTGACGAGTATGAAGCCGTAAATGACAGCGCCGGGACCGCCAGCTCCAATCTCGGTGATCAGACCCAGACCCAGACCGGTCCAGGAAATGGTCGTCGTGGAAGCAAGGCCAATCAGGCTGAGGGTGCTGAAATGTCTTTTGAGTTCTTGGGTATGGCCTTTGACCCAATCAATATTAGAACTTAGAGTACCCGTGTATCACGATGCGATACAGAGTCGCAGCAACGGCCAACCTACCCATTTGGGCGAGCCGGAGCTCATCGGCGTCTACCGTTTCCTTCATGTCGGTCGCCTCCAGGCTTCTCTTGGAACTAGGCGCCGCCGCGATGTTGCCGTCGGGAGAACTCATCTTGTTTGTTGCACGCTGTTGGCTTTCTGTTGTGGAGGCAGGGGTGTGAATCTGGGGTTCTACCTTGTGGCACTCTTCCTCGGGTCAAGAGTAGAAACCGGGCACATGGGACGAGTTATAGTTAACTTGACGAGTACATCCGAGATGTCGCACCGTCAAACATTGCGCCGGTTCACCGACCCCATACTCAGTGTCGTGTGCCGGATGTTCGGCACACTTAGCTCTATCGTCGCGTGATACGCCTGCAAAGATAATGAGTAGGTCTATGGACACAATTCTGGGTTCATTCCCCGCTGGACCCTAGACCCCTATCATGGGTTATCTGGGTCGACCCATGAGGAGCTGCTATCTCGGATGGTTGGGGCATGAGGGGTGCCCGGCAAACCCGGACCGGGTCGATAACTGCTGTGAAGTGATTCTCCGGCCCCCCACACTGTCACATTGTCGGGTCACATCGTGTGGATTACCAGTCCGAGGATACTCCTCGACAACATGGCAACACACGACCCCTTCCCACCGGAATGACCGATGACGGCGGCTCTTGCGGGGAAGGTTGGGACGGGTCCCACAATCAGGGATATGGGCTCAATCCTTGATTCTTGATAATTGTGGGGTGCCGACGATACTACCAGGCGACGCACAAGACAGTTTAACCTATTCTGTTACGATCGGCGTTGGTATTTGAAGCCATGATGCCCCTGCTTGATGTAGCATCCGAGCTCGCTTCACCGCACTCTGTTCCTTAGTCCTCCCCTCCGGTTCCTGTCATAGACTGCCAAAATGCGTTCGTCTCTTTCTATTATGGTCCCCTGGGCTCTCGTTGCCCTGGCGGGTACTGCCGCAGGCGCCTCGCCCTACGTTGAGTCGTTGACACCTGAAGCGCAAGGCCTCCTTCTGGAGTCGATGAAGTGGATGGACGACTACTACGACGCCAATGCCGGTTACTTGCATGACTTCAGCAACTCTGCTGCTCTGCGGCACGAGACTAGAAGCTCTGTCTGGTACGCTTTGGGTCTTTTGGCTCGAAACGAAGGCAATGACGCTGCCGAGGCCGATAAGATCATTACCAATACCATCCGTGGCCAGTACAGGGTTGAGTCAGAAGAGTGGTGAGTCAATGGTCCTGATCTTGTGATATTGTTATGTGCCCTGACACACTGCAGGTTCGGTAACTACCAGCAAGAGCCGGAGGAGCCTTATGTTGGGATTCCCCAGTACCCCCCGTCTATTTATGGTACTTGGGATCCCAACTGGCGTGGCTTCGTCGGCACCACCTTGGTCATGGTGATGGAGGAATTTCCCCATCTAGTGAGCAACAGCACTCAGGGCCTAATCCTTGAGTCGCTCTACAATGCCACCAAGGGCGACGAATACCGCTTCGGGAACCTGGACAAGACAAAAGACAACCTGTATCCCGCATACAGCAATCCTGTAAGTAACATGCAATCCCATCTTCGGGCACTTTGTTGACACATTGTTCACAGTCCATCATGCGTGCGTTTGTCTCCGGTTGGACCGGCCGCCGTCTCAAAGAGTGCAACATGACCAGGTCCGGGGAGAGGTACGCCCAAGAAATCATCGATCTCTTCAACCTTGACAACACCCTTTCCGAATTCAACTCGGGAACCTACACGGGTGTTTCTCTTTTCGGCCTCGTGCTGTGGAGCAAGTATCTGCCCGAGGACTCAGTCATGACGAAGAACGGCCCTCGCATGATTGAGCACACCTGGAAGGCTGTTTCTGATCTCTGGCACCCTGGTATGAAGAACATGGCCGGTCCCTGGGATCGCTCGTACGGTTACGACATGAACCGCTACGTGAGCCTGATGGCTTTGTGGTTCTGGACTCTGATCGGCAAGGAGAACTCTTCGTTGATTTCCAAGGTAAGCCAAATTTTACTCTTTATAGTCTGGCCGAACAGATAATTGACCGTCACAGCCTCAAGTCATGTCCCACGCGGCCGATTACGCTTGGGCGCCCCTCTTTGCCGTGCTCGCTGATGCGCATAAAAGCCTGGTTCCCGAAGACATTGTGTCCAAACTCGGAACTTTTCAGGGCGAGCACACGTTCAAAGCCACAGCCACATATCCTCCATTCGATACTGTTCCTCGTAACATCACTACCTGGCTGTCCGAGAAGCTCACTATCGGCGCTGAGTCTTTTGACGAGATCGTGATTGGCGGCCCAGCAAGGAACCAGGAGGCGTTCAACCCTGCCGTCATCCAGTGGGACACCGGCAGCCAGATCGCGTTCATCTCTGTAAGACCTGAACCAAACTCTCTTTTCTTAGTTGCAGGACTAACATGATCTAGCTCTACCCCACTGAGAAGGCTCTCGACGTCGAGGTCAGCCCTAACAAGCTGAGCCTGACATACCCCTACGGTACCGCCAGCTCTATTTTCAGCCTTGTTGTCGCCACTTTTTCCAACAAGCCTAATGTTGGGAGCTGGGAGGATGTCCAGGGTCTTAAGGTCGAGGTCTCGGGCAATGTGAACGAGACATATGGTCTTTCATTCGCTGGCGCCTATGGCGGCAGCGACTCCCTTCTTCGCGACTTTGAGTTCTGGAACTTTACCTACTCGATGCCTCCAGGCTTTGTCGGAGTACCGAACATTGTCCTCGACGTCAATCTCCTGTAAAGCGCAGTATTGATGTCGAGGAATACACGAGAACAGGCTTCTGCGCCTTTACATAGTAATTGAAGTTAGTAATTACATTGCATGCCATCTATCAATGATGATATGGTGACTGCCATTCGTATTTGTGACGTAGTCGTCAGCGGTGTTATGGGTTATACCCGTGATATCGTATAGGCTGTGACCTATACCCCTATGAATGCAGCCCAGTTGAATTAACGACGTTGATTTGATACGTATCCTTTTAGCTCAATTGGATAGCTGCCGTATAGCACTTACGACCGTATGAGGGCTGTCACTAAGCCCCTTTGGGGCCGATCGTAATAAGCGGCTTCACATATGATCCAGCAGCGATGCTTCCCTGAATACAGTGCCACGTATCGAGTGTCAGAGCATGCGTTAACGAGTATCAACGTAAGTATAAACCTGTTTCTCCATCATATGAAGGTCTATGATTTGTTCACTTATGTTTATGTAGTTACGCGCGTTGTGGCAAAAGCCATGGATGACGATTACGACTCTCTGGATGCCCATGCGATCAATGCTGCTCCCACACCGCTCCCATCTGCCGCGGTGCCCATCCGTATGAGTTTCTCGCCTTTTATGCCGATTGCCGGAATCTCCTTCAACGCAGTTCGAATGTGAGCTTCAAAGCCCGGGAAGAACTCAAATAGTGATCCGTCAACCCCAATGTCAATGATGTCCTCCTCTGGTAGCGGTTCATCCTGGTCAACGGAACTGGCATAGCCCGAGTCTGATACCTCCTCGTCGTTGGCTTTGGTTTCATCTTTGCTTTTGACGAGCCAACGACGAACGCAGCGGACGAAGGCACTGTGGGCTTTGTGGAAACTCCACAAGAGACGCGCAAGAAGCGACTTCCGTGCAACTGGCCGTTGAGTGACCATGGCCTTTTCTGGCCTGCTGTCCAGTCGACCTGACTGGACCACGATGCCAGCGATAGCGATCGCGGATAGCCTTGCAGCCCTCCGTCCGATAGATGCTGCGATAATCTGTAGCGCCGCAGCGTCCTTTGCAGAGACTTGACTGGCGTCGAGGATCTCCACTATCTCTTTTTGGGCGCTCTCAAGACCTGAGCTCTGGTCCCGAACGAGGGCGGAGAGGAACGAGCTGTCGATTGAGTACGGTGAGTGTAGATTAGATGTCAAAGGCACCGTCATTTTGAAGACTGGCGTGGCAGATTGCATCTCTATCAGCATGACCCTTCGAAGGAGCTCCCCTAAGTAAAGTCCTGAAATGCGTTTTTCGAAGTGTTGGTCGTCGGGATTGACTGAGGCGTTATCAAGAGATTCGTCATAAATGGTAGTGGGCAGAACCGACAGCTCGTTGTCGAACCCGCCCCATTCTGTGTTGAGCGCCATGAACTCCGCCGGGTCAGTGTTTGAGAACTCTGGTTGTGCATGCAGCTTTTTTATGTTTTGAATTCTTTCAAAATAGGCACCATTCGTTCCTGTGCCGAAAATGGCACCCAGTAAAGTCTCCGAATGACTAGGCGAGGCATACGCTCGAGCGGCCAAAGTCCCTACCGTGTCGTTGACAAGAGCTGCTACTTCGAGCGGGAGGTAAAGACTGTCGAGAGATTCTTGCAGCATAGCACACGGGTCGCGCCCGACAGCATCTTCTATGCTGAAAGCCTTGGTCCAGTACATCAGCGTGCCTTTGTTGATGGCATGTTGGTCGAAAGTGAAGCTGAACGTGAATCCCAAGGAATGAAGGTGTTGTCGTCGAAGTTCGTCAGTAACTCTGCCATCCATGATAATCTGTCTCCAGGAATCTAGCTGCGTGGACATGTGCTCCTGCATGAATGCCTCGGTGTGTCTCGCAATGAAATCAAAAAAGCTTTTGTACGTCTTCGACGTCATCAAATCGGCGGGAATTGCGGTCTTGAACTGAGTAAGAGTATGAGTGGAATCGCCATGCAATTCGACAGAGCAAACTCTCAGGTTGGTCCCACCCAGGTCAATTGCGAGACAGACACCCTTCTCCGATCCATTGGGTAATTTAGTGACATATGACGGAACTTGAAGCAGTGTTGTCCCATCTTGTAAGAGGCCCTCTCCTAGGTGGGTGTTAGTTGAACTACAATTCAGTCGGGTACAGTCATAGGCGATGCATACCAAGTTGTTTGACAAAATGTTCAGTGCCTCTTGATAAGATCTCAGAAGACACATCGAAGTGTTGGGCAATGACTTCTGCCCTTACCGTTGGGTCTAGGGGCTGCTGTGTGGCACCATCCTGATGCTTGGCGGTGGACATCACAAGCAGCCTGTAGGCGTTCAGCTGCGCAGGTAGGTTGCAATGATGGAGGAGCCTTGCGAAGGAGGCTTATCGAGATAGTCGCAAGGTCTCAACTCAGTCCATTCCGTCAAGTAACTACCTCATCCATGCTGAGCTGGTTTCCTCCTTGATAGGCTCTTACCGGCTCCCTTAATTGTACGTGATTAAGGGGCAAACCGCCTGTAAGCATGTAGACCCGGCAAACCCGGCCCGGCCTCAAAGATAGGCGTAAATCAACTGCTACCCAATGGCGAGCCGAGGTGCGCGACCGTCGGGTGCCCGAGTCATTCTTATCCGAGCTCATCACTGAGCAATTACACTAAAATGTGGACGACCCGGCCGAACCGGAGAGAAAAGAACGAAGTCTTTGCAAAACCACCGGCACCTCCTCCGACTGGAGCAGTACGTGATCGTCTTTGCAACGTTCCCCGCGCAATCCACAATCCTGCCAAGCGATGGCACCTCTTCCACTGGGACCCGACGATCAGTATGCGTCTGTAATTGGGGCTGTGCCAGAGGCTCAGGCTTCGGTGAAGTCGCGGAAAGCTTGTGGTGAGACCGCCGGCCCAAGTTCCATTTCAGGCTCGCAAATGACGCTGACCGAGGCCCATCAGTGAATTGTCGACGTCAGAAGGTTCGCATTGCGATGCTGAATTAATCTGTCTTTTGCCACGCGGTCTGACCAGATCGGGCAGATGAAATGCAGAATTGACGAGGGTCCATCTTGTCGAAGGTGTCTGCGAACCGGCGTGTCTTGTGTGTTTGTGCCTCGAGCTAATGTAAGTGCCCTCCTAAATGTCACCAACACGATACCTCGTGCATTTTTTCGATGTGCAAAAGCTTCTCACATGAATAAACGTGGTTTTTAGGCCGCTGCGTACACCGAAGGATACACTCCCGGTGACGCATCTCATCGCAGTGAAAGATCATCGCAGCTCAACGAGAGCATACTTCGTCGGCTACAAAGGCTTGAAGACCATGTGGGGTTGACTGCTCTCGGAGAGAATAGCCTCCACAACGAGACACAAAGCGGTACTATGTTAGAAAGTCCGGAGCCTGAGGATTCTTCCCTTCGACCACTGCGGCCTGCCATTCAGGTGCTCAAGAATACATGCTCTGCAGGCACCACCTCACCGCTGTGGGAAGAACCACTGATCAAGCGACTTTGGCTCAGGTGAGTAATTAAAAGACATCATCTCTGCGATCACTTCATCATAATACTAATCCAGTGTGCTTGCAGCTTTCACAACACGATGCTCGGGCTGCACTTTCTCCCCACCAAACAGACCTTCTCATCCCCAACGCCCTTGATGCTAGCTGCGATGCTATACTGTTCAAGTATGAGGGGGTCGGATGAGGTGGTTGTACATGCTGCTGAGTACTTCATTGTCCTGTGCAATGCCATTGCGCAGCTATGCATGCCCTCCAGTGAGATCGGGGAGGTGCCAAAAGACCCAAGCGCGGCCGAAGAGTGGGCATTTCAGACAATCCTCGGAATCATTCTAGCTGGTCTCCTTCGGGAGGGCGTCAGCAAAGAGACAGGGATATGGATCTCTGTCGCTTACCGCCTAATTCTTGAGCATTGTCCCCCTCATATGGATGAGAAGTCGCTTGAGTGGCAAAGGTTGTTTACTGGTCTGCAGGTAAGCCACCTTCAACAACGTGGTGTGACGAGTTTGGCAGTGGTAACTCATGAATATCACAGATTGTAGATCTGGAGCACGCCTCCATTCATTTATCTTGCCCTGTGATCCCAGTGGTAGCACCATTTCCCCGCCTCCGCATAGCCCAGCAAGACCAACTCTACAGGCTGTCACGCATGATGCATACAGGCCTGACCCATTTTACAGGCAGGGGCCTGCCGACCATCTGGGCTTGCTTCACGAGTGATACTCCAACAACGTCCGACTCATCGTCGTTCAGTGGTGTTGATGCGGCCGTCATCAGAGACTGGGCCCGACAGCTGGATGATTGGTTGGTGGAATTTGGTGCTCGAAACGAGGAGGCAGATAACCAGAGCAAACTCACGTTTCGACAATACGTCCTCCACCGCCTGTTGGTTCTGTCAATCTACCTCCCAGCCCGCGGCAGCGACTTGTTCTCCAACACAACACCCAAAGAGCAACATGAACTTCTGGTCTCGGCTCGGGCGGCTGTCAAGTTGCAAGTGGCCGACTCGTCTATATGGTCCAACTTTGACCTTGTGATGATCACGTGGGCGGCTTTGATCGTGATCCAAGGGGTCGATGGCGGGGTAGGCGAACCTGATGGTAAGTTAGCACTGCATTCACTCCATGCGATGCACCAGTTTCTGATGAATGCGCGTTAGATCTCGAGAATGTAAGAGTTCACCTAGGAAGGCTTCAGGAGGCCCACGAACACAATTCCAACCTTCATGGTGCTCTGGCCAATCGCCTAGAAACGAAACTGCAAGGGCTCAGCACGCCTCAGATGGGCGATGCCATGAGCTTTGAGCCGGACGGCACCTTTGACACTTCTTGGTACATATTCGACCAGTCTAGTCTCGACGCGGGCTTTGATATGTCCTTTTTGGATGGCCCTTTACAATGAGAAAATTCTTTCTGGACATATGCCGTGTTCTGATCTTCGTTACTGTTGCATGCGTACAAGCGCAAGCTGGACGCAACCCCAGCGCAAGTGCCGTGCTTATCAATCTGGGTAAATAATATTGACAAATGTCCAGGGCCATCCTTGATAGTAGAACGCCAACTCCTAATTCAAGATATAACAACATCTATAACATTCTTATCTCGTATCTGCGTTCCAGAGGGCTCAAACTGTAGGCCACGCCCCGATCCTTGATGACATGCTGTCTGGGGTCAACTCAACCAGGTGATCATCAGCCCAAGCAGGGCCTGGTGATTTGTGATCAGGGGTCTGGGGAGGGCTAGCAAGCGACCATGTTCGAAGTCGCAAAGGAAGCTTCTGCTCAAAGCCCCTGCCAAGTCCAACCTTCTCGATGCTCTTGAAGTACTGCGAGAGCAGAATGTCAGAATTAGGTCATGGCTATGAATCAGGAGTTCTTACCTTGACAGTCTTAACCTGCAGCTCCAACGAAGCATCCTCATCCGCGACAATCATGGAGTATGGGTGCAGCTGCAGACAAGAAAGAGTCCACATGTGGTTGACACCGCCTTCGACAGCCTTTTGCAGCGCCACGGCTTTGGATGCGCCGTTGGCAATAATCACAACCTCCTTGGCCTGGAGCACTCGTTTAGCAAATAAGCAGTGGCAGAGGCGAGAGATCATTGACATACCTCCATGATGGTCTGGACACCTACAGTCAGCGCCATTTGGGGCACTTTCGAAATGTCGCCGTCGAAGAACCGCGCATTGGCGCGGATAGTATCCATGGCCAAGGTCTTCACCCTCGTGCGAGAGGCCAGACTGGATCCAGGTTCGTTGAAAGCAATATGCCCATCGGGACCTACACCGCCGAAAAACAGCTCAATACCACCGACTTCCTTGATTTTGGCCTCGTATTGTGTGCACTCCTCATCCAGGTTTGGCGCATTGCCGTTAAGGATGTGTACATTTTCAGGCTTGATGTTCACGTGGGAGAAAAAGTTCTTGAACATGTAGCTGTGGTATGACTCGGGATGGTCCTCAGGAATACCAATGTACTCGTCCTATGACGGACGATTATTACCAAGGATTGGGGGCGCTGGCTGGGTTTGGACGCACCATGTTGAAAGTGATAACATTCTCGAAAGAGATGCGGCCGGCTTTATATTCTGATACCAATATCTCATACACTACTGTCGGGCTGCTTCCCGTGGGAAGGCCAAGGACGAAAGGCTTCTCTGGGGTGGGTTCGAACGTTCGAATGCGATCTACGTGCGACAGTCAGACACTGCTGAAGGCTCGTCATGGAAAGGGCAAGCCGGAAGGTAGAAAGACCATGAGCATACCCAATATGTACCCCGCGACGTAGGCAGAAGAGGAGCTATCGTCTGGCCTGACAATGAGTCTCATTTTGAACCGTGGGTGTACGTGAAAATGATGAAGGTCTTGTGACTTCGGAGCTCAGGTGGTCAAGTTTGCAGAATCGCAGCGATTGCGAGGCTTCGGGGAAGACCTCCTTGGTGCCACAACTGCCAATCTATATGTTCCAGCACTGTCAAATAAACTGAGCCTGTAAGTGATGTTACTATCGCTCCTCAAGTATACTTGCCGTCGTGCCGGCATGGCCATGGTACCCGGGTTTGCCGGGATCACCGGCCCCTCACAGTAGTCGGCCGGTTCACCGGGTGTCTGAATCGCTAAAACAGCGATCAGCTAACGATCAGCAATCAAGAAACAGACATGGAGGAACCAGAAGAACCACGAGGGTATCCTCTCGACAGGGGAGACCAACATTGCTTCTGGGTACTTCTCCAGGTTCCGGGCGAACCGACAGCTTGGCCAGGGGGCGATGCACCAAATTCTCGGGATGTTTCAGTGGACATGGTGGGCTGTGGTACGCTTCAATACAGCGGTGGTACGCTGCTCATACACTACATATTGGACGATGAACAATCATTTCTCTTCACGCTGCACTGTACAATAGCGCGCAGAGCGTAGGGTGCCTCAACTGCCGGACGCAAGCCATGATAGCTACACAGGGTTCAACACGACCCAGAGCGTCTCGTTAGCAATCTCCAAACGGGGAAATCCCGAGCCCATCATCTCGAGCTTCGCAAATGACGCCTCCAAAGCCGCCAGCTGCTCCTCCACTGTCTTGACTTCTTTCCCATCTCCCGAACTAGGAGCCAGGATTCCACGAACCGACGTGCCCGTCAGTTCCTCCAATTCAACTGTCGTCACAATGGCCGCGTCCAACCCCCTAGAATGGAACCAGTCCTTGTTCGCGACAGCAAGGTACGCAGCGGCCCTGTCCCTCTGCGAAGCCGGCTTTTTCGACGCTGCGGCGAGAGCCGATCCGGGCATCGACACGACGGCACCGATGACGCTGAAGGCCGCGGACAGCGGGATGGAGATGGCGCCGCCGACGGCGCCGACCGTGGCACCGACGACGTTTCCGCGCCGGGCCTGCTTGGTGATGTTCTGGCCGACGTTCTTGGCGTGGGCATAGACACCTTTGAAGCTGTTGGTGGGGCCCTTGCCGAGCTGCCTGGCTATGTCGCCGGCGTGGCTCAGGGCGCGATCCGAAACCTTGGCCGCAAGGAAGGCAGATAGCGTATCGAGGAATGAGAGCCAGGACTCCGCCGGGATACCGCGCGCCAGGAGGCTCGGCGCATAAGCCTGGAGAAAAGGCGACGCCGGCTCCGGGCTCTGCTGCGGGACGACGATGTAATGCCGTGGAGCTGAGCTTGGCGCGGAGGATGGTGGCGCTGGGAAATCGAATGGCCTTTCAGCGGTTGGACCCTGGTCTGACTGCTGAGGGGGTTTTCCCTGTTCGGCCTGAGGGGTGACAGCAGGAATGGTGGTGTCCTGGCTTGGGCCGCCTGGCTCGTAGGTTGGGGGACGCGGTTCGTACCCTGCTTCGCCGCCGTCTTGAGGCTCGCTCTTCTCTGGTGCCTTTTTCGACATTTTTTTTTTCAGAGGTGTTTTCTCTTGAACAGCGAAGACGAAAGATTCTTCCAACCTTGTCGCCAGGTCTCGATATTTGAAGGATGTTCGTCTTCATAAGGCCTGATCGGAACTTCGGCACCGTCGTCAGCCTGTCAGCACTATTGTCCCAGCGCCCCATTTTAGAACCAACTCTCATCGCGTGCTAAGCCCCTTCGTCATCGCGTTCGGGTTCGGTTCCGACAAGGTTTGGCTTGAGAGACCTAAAAGTACGGCATGGCTTGAGCCTGCGGCTGTCGTAAACAGAGAAGTGGACAGAACCTCTATAGACCCTAACTCATTGCGACAATTGAGGAACGCAACAGGAGAGAAGTGTTAGTGTATTTACGTAGTGATTCATGCAGTGATATGTATACATACCAGCAGATGATGACAATGTTCATTTACGTGAATGCGATCTTTATCTGCCACTTGTCCAGCCAAGCGTATGTCTGGCTCTATCCTCTGTGGTCAGCAGCGGTGACTCCCTGTACACTGAACGTCCATACATCATGGAACAACTGTCAGGATACTGGTAAATGGGTTACCCAATGAATTCCAACCCTGAATGAACAGAACTCAACCATAGAGCCTATGCCTTCTCCAGCTTCATTGCCTTGATAGTGACGAAACGCCCTGCTGTGCTCAGGGTTCTGAAAACATTACGCAAGACAGTCGCCTTGCTGAAGCCAACACTCCCATCGGAGTGATACACCCGTATGGGGAGATCATCCTTGCCTTTGCGCTTGCGCTTGCCCTTCTTGTCGATACTGTTGTCCTCACTCGGTGGGGCCCCTAGCTCTGCTGCCACTATGGCAATCGGGACGGCAATTGTCAGGTCACCAAAGATGACCAGGCCGGACCTCTGAAGCGTCAGGACGAGATTGAGACGCGCCGCCTCGCAAAGAAAGCCGGGCCCCGACTGCCGATTCGTGCTCATGACCACAAGAACAATATCTCCCTCCTGGCCCTGAAATCCGTCAATGGTTGATGCTGGGCGCGTATTGATCAGCGATGCCGCATACTCTGGCGACTTGCGCATGGCGGCGATGAGGGCGACGTTGCTGAGGTAGGGTGTCAGGAGCACGAGATTGGAAGACGTGATGCCGGGTCGGAACTTGAGGAGGTCGACGGCAAAGTCGAGGGCGATCTTGATCTGATCCCTGCTATACTTTGACCCGGTAAACTTGTCGAGGACCGAGGACCCTTCGCAGTGTACAAAAATAGGCTGAAGGGTGCCAGACGGAGCAGGAACAAGGGTGGGATACTTTTCTCGAGCATACGACTCGAGGTCCCGGCCAACAGCAAACTTGTCGAGATTGACGTTGCAGCACGTATCGTAGGTAAAGGGAACCTCGGGGTATATCTCCTTCGCGACCACGTCAAATAAGCCGCATCCCATGCGCAGCTGGGTCTTGAGACGGTAGACGGGCAGGTCGGTTCCCATGAGGTACTCGAGCGCTGACAGTTTGCCGTCGGCAACGAATCTGTGGAAAATGTTGCCCTCCGAGTCATGTTCGTCGCCCGTCATGATGGCGGGAGGGAGCTGTTTATCGTCGCCAGCGAGGAAGCAAGGAAGTAGAGAGTTGCCCCAGACACAGGCGATATCGGCGCGGGTCATGCTCGCCGCTTCATCGATGGCGATTCCACGTGCCACACTTGTCCTCCATTCCCTACAGACGTCATCGGTAGCCATGGAAGGGGTTGTGCAAATGATATCGGCCGCTTCAATGATGGCCTTGAGAAGTGTATGCCCGGCGTCCTTGTGCAAAACGCCCGAAAGGACATAGTCATCCCAGCCTATTTGATCCTTGGCAGCGGCGAGAAGGTTAGAGTACTGTGGCCTTTCTTCGATGCTTGCTCGCAGTCTGAACAATCCCTCGCTGTCGTCAGGTGTGAGTTCCCTGACACCGACCGCCCGCGAGCCGAGCACGGCTAGCAACCAAGACGAGATCGAGAGGTGGAGTCGCCATTTTGAGGTCTTTGCGATGGGTATTCGCGGACGATCGCTTTCGGGGATTGGATAACGGAGGAGGTGCATGACGGCGGCAAACTCGTCTTGCATCCTGTATGCGCGGACTACTAGCCTGTGTCGCATACGAGTCGGATCTTCTTGTTGTTTGCCGGTATTGTAGCGCTTGCAAACACTGCTTGTTGTCTGATCCAGGCGGTCGGCGAAATTGTCGACGGCCACGTTTGTTGGTGCAGAACAGAAGATGCGGTCTAGTTTGGCCTGCATGCACAGTGTTGCAGTGGCGATGGCTGTGGTCTTGCCAAAGCCAGGTCCCTGAATACAATCAGCATCAACAGTGCCATATTTTTGGGCGAAGATGACTTACAGCAGTTATCATACCAAGTCCGAGAGGGCGATGGCTCAAGTAGCCCTTTAAGCTAACTTGGTCTTTGGGAAGGGCCTCGTGAAGCAACGCATTCACATAATTGGCGTCATCGATGTCCAGAAAGTTGACGACAGGAAGCTCGCGCAGTTTTGGCAGTGGTTGTCGTGTCATGGACATGGCTACCAGCCCTGAGGTCATGTTGATGGCGGGATCAATGCCTCTCATCCAGTCCCAGAAGCCAGTGCCGCGCATTACTGCTCGGTGCAGGCTCATCTTGTCCGCCGTCTCCTCTTTGCTGCCAGAGACGACCGCGTTCGTAGACTCGGCCATTGGTTCGAAAGCCTTTAGTCCGACCACCTTTCTTTTGCAGTCGGTGAGCCCGGAATTAAAGCGAAGAGCCGCGATGTTCTAGTTCTCAGCTCCTTCCTTCAAAGCAACATCGGCTTGCAAGCGGCCAGCAAATGTGTTGATGTTATAGTCGTCGCCACGCTTCTCACTGCTGCCGGGTCGGCGCGTCTTGAGGACCACCTCGTGCAAGGCCGTCGGATGATCTTTCAGAATGTTAATTCTCTGCGGTGCTACAATGATTTCGCAGTCCCTGAGCTTGTCAGCAGTGATCACAATGAGCAAGAAGGGCGGTATTACCAGGTAGCGGGATCTTTGTCGTCCGTATGCCTGAAGAGGAAAACTTGAAGCTTAAGGTTCCTGGCGAGGCGGCGCCAGGCAGAGGCATATGCATCCCGGAATTCTTGAGTAAGCGGTACGATGATGTAAAACTTGACCTCATCGGCGGGTTCAACAGATAGGTTGAAGGGGACAAAATAGACCGGGCCAGGAGTTCGACTGATCTCCTCGGCGGCTTGGGCGAGCCAGATAACGTCTTGGACGACAGACTGTGTCATCGCCGTGAGGTGACTGTTGTCGTCTTTGAAACTATTGGTATCATGTCAGTAAGATGCCGTGCTTTTATTGAGGATATGGAGATGTGAGAAATTGGACTTACAACCGGCTTGAGATGTACGCTTTTTCTCCTTTGAGATCGCGGGCTTGTTCTTCGTAGCGTTCTTGGTTCCACTCGTGGTCGGTGCCATAGGGGTATTCGAACGGCGGTGGCAGCTTGTCAATGTTCATCATGGCCTGGACATCGTTGACGGCAGTAGCGACGGTAAAGGAAAACCTGGTCTAGTGCAGGAGTTCTGGCAAGGTCATGCCTTTGATAAACGACTTGTGCCGATCGATCCAACCCTCGACCGTGGTGTTCGAAACGTCGGTGAAAGGCACGCCGTACCATGGATCGTGGCCTGGGCGTTGTCTGTGAACTGAACGGATACCTGGCAGAGCTTTGAAGCTGTCGAGCCTGGGAAGCGAGCTAGGTCCTCAGACATCGAAGGCTGGACAGTATAGGTGAAGTGACCGCGAAGGAACTTGATAACGATGACGTGCCTATTGGTCGGCACAACGGCACCGCTCCTTTTGTTCATGTCAACTGCAGAGCTGAGAGAAGGTTAAACGATGGTTCTTGACAGCTTAGTGGACGGATGGAGCTTACCATGTTGACAAATGCCAAAGCCGCTTTGCTCGTTGAGATCTGTGCTCAAGTGGAAACCGAGCTGAATTCCAATGAAGGAGTCAAAGTTTGACGATCTCCTGACGATAAACCGTGCAGAGCACAAGTCCTGGCCCTCGAGCTCTGAAATGCCGTTGATGATGATGGGCTTGCTCGGGTCGTTGTCGATGAAGGCGCAGTCCTTTGAGGCGTGAGTGTAGCTGACCTTGACTGAGTTGGCCTGGGGGGGGCGCCAGTCGATGATTGAGACATGGCGAATGTTTGCGAGGTTCCAACACCACTTTCCACTAATCAATCTGTTTAACGGACCGACCGAATCGTCAGATCTGATCCCGATAAATTTTCAATCGGCGAACCGATGAAAAAGAACCACGACCTGACGGAGGTGATACCTATCAGGATCAGAAATTTCGATAACAGTACCGATGACTCGCATCTCAGACTAAACTACCGGAATGAAGAAGAACAATAGACTGGACCACGCCGGATCTAGTGAGAAACACAGTGAACGGAGGGATCTGAGGTCTTCGCAGAATGCAGGAATTGCGACTCTCATAAAATGCCTGGGCGTGTGTTCCTGAAGAAGAGAAGGGGAAGAAGAGAAGGAGAAGAAGAGGGGAAGGAACTGTAAGCTTTTGTAACAGGCGAAGTTAAGGAAGGCGCAGAAATCAACCAGCAGACAGCGACCCAGTCAAGCCAACAGCCTGGGTCTCATAGACCTGGTAGCACACGGCTCAAAATCGATAGATAGGTAGTCAAAATGGAACCGACTCTATTTGGCAGCCACGATTCCTGCTACCAGGGAACATGAACAGACAAATTGATTGTGATGCCACATTTCTATACCCCTTCCAGCATTGACGGGGGCAGAGTGAGTCGGAGTTACTTTCATAGGTGACGTGAATGTTGCAACGCTCGGAAAGCAGCGATGATCACAACTGTTACCATTAGCGATCATGCGAAGAATGTTTCACAACATCACAGGTGGCTCGGCTGGGTTGTATGCTTTGCGACGAGGCTGGCAGAAGATGTGTTTGAATGTGTGCTTGTCGTTAGGGAACGATGCTGCTGCCTAGCATGCAAATACCTTCACATTTGTTCCATGATGTATGGACGTCCAATAGATTTAGAGTCCTCGCTGCTGAGTACAGAGGATGGAGCCAGAAATACGCTTGAACAAGTGGCAGAAAGATATCGCGTTCGCATGAATGAACCTTGTCGTCCATGTTCGTGTAAGGGTTGGAATTCTTTGTGTAACTCATTTGCAAGCACCATCAACACAGCAATCAGTGAATTTCCTTCTTCAGGACCACATATCAGTCCGCATGAAAGGAGAATGAAGTATCAAATCATCATAGGCTTTTCAGCAGGTCAATGTTTGATGGTATCCAACTCAGGCTTCTTCCTATGACTGGGCTCAACATAGTAGAAGACATATCATTTCAACAACAGACATCATTGCATTGCACCGAGGATCCCAGGATGTGTTCCACTTGTTTATGAGTAGTATATGGAGAATTGAATTAAACAGCCCTTGCACAGCGAAGGCTTGGGTCACCAGAAGAATCTCTCACTCTCCACCTAGATATGTATTGTGTTCAGCTTGACGAAAGCTACGCCCGAGTGCCGGAAGCACGACACGACGAAGTGGAAGACAGCGACAAGCCGCTTAGCAAGCCTTGACGGTGGTGTACTTGCAAGAGGCAGAAGGGCCGGAGCGGATCTCCTTGGGCTCCTTGCCGGGGGTGGTGCCGTTGAACTCGGTGCAGACCTTCTTGACGCTGGTGGAGCACGTGTTGGTGATGGTGGCGACGTCACCCTTGTTGCTGTTGATGCCGGCGAGGAGCTTGCCGTTGTAGGCCTTGACGTTCTTGATGACGACGTTGCGGCGGCCCATCTTCTTGCAGTTACCGCACGCGCGGTACAGCTTGCCGAAGTCGACGACGGTGAAGCCGTCAATGGTCACGGTTCCGAGACCGTTGTGCTGGATAACCTTGTCAGAAGCAGACTGGGCTCCTCCACCGCGCACAATAGCGTTACCATCCCCCTTAATACTCAGCGCGTCTAAATTTTGAGAGAATTGTTAGTATCGTGAGTCTGTACGTGTGGTGTTGCGGCAGTGTGGTGTTGGGACAGTGTGGCGTTTGGGGGTGGGGGTGTGGCGTTGTGGGATTGTGGCGCAGCACTGGAGACTTACCCTCGCAGACATCCTTCCACCAAACGTTCTCGATGGTGCAGGCGCCCTTGCAGTGGACACCCTCGATCTGGTCGGCGCCGATGATGGCGTTCTTCAGGGTGGCGCCGTTCTCGAGGATGAAGACGGCATCGGCGTCACCGCCCTCCTTCTGGCCGGTGCACTTGACGCCACGGCCGTAGGTCTTGAGGCCACCGTCGAAGACACCCTTGATGGTCTGGACCTTCTTGTAGGTGACGGAGCCCTTGGAGGCGGGGATGGGGAAGGCGGCGCGGCGCTCGAGAGCACCGACGGTGTTGGGGGTGACGTTGTTGACGGCGGGGGACGCGATGGCGACGGCGGCGCCGAGGGCAGCGAGGACAGCGGAGAACTTCATGTTGTCGGTTGGGTTTGGGTTTTTTTTGTTGGTTGAGTGAGTGTGGTTGGTGATTGGAAAGAATTGGACTTGAAGTGTTGGACAAGTAGAGCGAATGAATAACCACCTGGGCTAAAGAATGAATGTGAGTTGGATAGTAGCGAAAGAGTGAAAGTCAAGCGAATGAGTGTGATGAGATGGAGAGTGAGACAAGAATGATGCCATAAACGTTCCAGGGCTTCTTCTTATGCAACTAGTCCGACTGTCTACCCAAAAGCAGACCAAAGGGGGGGCCCAGCGCGAAGTGATCACGGCCGCCACCCCACTTCATCGACTCCCTGGCGAGCTGCTTCTCCAACACGAACAAACACCCATGCAGAGGGAGAGAGGTAGGGGGAGGCCAGGCTAGGAACGGCTGCGTCGGTTTACGGCAGGCCCACTACATGCAGCCAGGAAAAGCAGTATCAAGCATCAAGCATCGAGCATCATATTGGGGCAACAAGCTAAGCATCAGGTCAAGCATACGGTCAAGCATACGGTCAAGCTTCTCAGCTCCGACCCAGGACCCCCGGCCTCGTCTACGGGGCACACAATGTCTTCGCCTGTTGCGTCCGGAGCGATCGAGCAGGGGGTGGAGCTGGGCTCGGCCCCACTGCCGCGTTCAGTCGAGATTTGGTTCGGTCCCATCCGAAAGGAGGTTGTGGGAAAGTGGAAGGGCCTGCCGGGTCTGTGCAGTCAGATCAGAGAGAGCCCACCAATGCGAAGGGCCTGGGAATGAACCACAGCATGACAGAGTGACAGACAAGATGACAGGATGGAAGGTCGATGGAGTAACCGTCTCTCCTGGGATCCCTGCTTGGCACGTTGCTCGATCGGACCAGACTCTGATCTTGGTTGCGAGCTTGACCTGTGCTCTCCCGTTCGCATGACGCCCGCCTGGAACAGCCCACCTGGTCGCGGTTTGATGGAAATTGGGTGGCAAAGCTGTGCTTGTTGGTGCTGGGTCAGCTGTGCTCAAGCTTTCAGTCCTGGTTGAGCTGGGTGGCCTCAGTCCAGCATTACAACAACACCTGGCGGCCGGATCTCTCTGGAAGGAAATGAGCAAGGGAAGAGGCCTTCTCAACCCAAAACAAGAACCTGGGAAGAATGAAGACAGGGCCGAGGACGCTAGATGGGCGCCACTGCAGGTACGTTGGCCAAATGATTGGAGATGTGCCGCTAAGCTGCCTGTCGAAACACGCCAAGACCCACGTTTGGTTTGCCGATGCCAGTCTGGTGCTGCTTCGAGCTGCAGATTCTGTGACCCGGCGGCTCGACGCGGGAACCCCCCCCCCCCCCCCCCCCCCAGGCACCTTCACCAGGTGAACGCCAACAGGACAAGGTTGGAAGGAGAGTCCAGACTGTTGGTGCCGCCTTTGGCTGTTATCTCAGCCAGCTTGTCGTTCCTGGCGAGGGGGCCTGGCATCCGGGCGAAAGCTCTGCCGAAAGACCGGTGGGAAAGCAGACCGACATGGTAAAGGGGGAAGGGGGGGCGGTATCATCGGTAATTACTATCAAACTGCGAGGTCTGTTGTCGAAGAACAGACAGAAGAAATACAACGAACCCCTTCTTGCATTCTTCTGCTTTATTAACCACCTGGTCGGGTTCCGGGGGAGGGGAAAATCGGAAGATTGTAGCAGGCCAGAATTCAAACTCTAGGCGAGTGCTGGGCATTGAATAAGCTTATTGGCCTTTCGGGAGCGTACCTTAAGCTTACAGCGAGGGTTATCCTTATTTTTCAGCCACGCTTACTGAGCTGAGGTTGGCCTCTCAAACCTAAAAGTGCGCTGTAATGTGCTGCTGTCTTCCGGGGTTCAATTCAGAGCATCTCCCTCCTCACCTCTTCCTCAGATCCCACCCCTGCCCTGCCCCGTGTGTCGCTGTCAAAGCACCACATCTCATCTAGATTGATACATCCTCGATGTCATGCCCAGCAAACGTCAGACGATGGGAGAAATTTTCTTCTCCGATCTCTCGGCCGGCCAATCTGCTCATCGCTGTCGCATCGTCGGCATCGGATGCATGGGAGCCTGGGAACACGGGCACCCTGGCGACCAACGTCGATTGCACGCCCCCCCGACTACTGGCTGAGAGAGCAGGTTAGGTGAGGTCGAATCTCACCAACGGCTGTGACGAGGGTCGCACATTAATGCCAAGCCCCACCACTCGCCACATGGACGCTTCAGTCTTGGGGAGGGCTAGCCTAGAATCGAGGCTGTGTCTTCCGATGTTACTACAGGGGCCCGGCTCGCTACGAAGCGGGCAACCCCCATTCTTTCTTGGCATTCCCCTGTCTCTTCTGAAACGCACCACAGAGGAAGAATACCAGAGACCAGGCTTGATGACAGCCCTGTGCTGCTCATCGTGATTGTTTGCGGGGCCCGCAACGTTCGATGGTGCCGGGCAAACCGGTACCGGATGGATTCGATAATGGACCTCTCGATTCCTTCTGGGCCCGATGCAGCCAAGGCATGTCACGGAGGGAGAGGAGACGACACTATGGAAGTCGCCGTGGAGTCCTCATTCGGGGGCTCCCGACCCGGAACCTTCGTATTCATATCGGTTGACACCCTGCTCAGTCTTTCTTCTCCGCTCCATGGCCTGGCCTTCTGAGACCCTGGACAGTTCTCAGCAATATTTTCACCTCTCGTAGCCTCCCGAGTCAGACATCGCCGTGCGCCCTTGCCATCTTCGATTTACTTTCTTAGTCAGATCTGTGTTTTGTCGGTCATTGAGCGTGATCCTGGGCATGCTGTGGACGAGGTTGCTGTGGACTCGGTAATCTCATCCTGCCAATTCATACAAATGACTAACGTGGTAGCCCCTTTCATCGCAGGGCTGTCAATACATTGACTGCAGTGAAGCCGTAGTGCGACCTAGTCTGACAGCGCTAGAACATAAGATGATGCATTTCATGCGTATCCATAGCTTGCACAGACGAGAGAAGAATGTCATGCTGAGCCTACAGTGTGGCGATGTAGTGGAGTCAGTGTTGAGATGTGGTGACCCTCACTTGGGTGGCACAGCAAGTGCATGAAGCTTCACGCCGAGGGGGATGCAATCCCAAGATGAGGCCCCACGTCGGCGCCGACATGCTGCTGCAGCGAACTCAACGCCGGCCTGCATGCTGCATTTGGCAGACCTTCGATCTGGGATCATGGACGGCTGTAGCGGCCGAGTAATGCTCTCGGCCATCGACAATGATCGAGCAATGCAATGTTTATTGCTTCGTCCTTCAGATCCCCGAGGCAGCTGGCGTTCTTCCCGTTCGCGCTGTCTGCCGCCAGCGCCATTCCTAATGGCAGACAACCCGACAGCTCGGCCTGCAAGCTACCCGCCGTGCCGGCTGCTCACTACAGCGAAGGCCATGGGGTCAAGTTTGACTGCGCGCCGAGCTTCGGCACCATGCGGGCCAAGATGATCTTTGTCGACTTCCCCGACGCAATCGACAGAGGCATTCCCCCGCCGCTAGACAGAAACGAGATCCCGGCAACGGTAGAGTGGTTCAGGAATTCCTCTTTCGGAAGTCTCAACCTGCAGATTGATTTTGACGGCTCTCGGTACTACCGCATGCCAAGGCCGTCAACGTCATATAGCTTCGAGCGTAACCTCACCGCGGAGACTCACCAGAAGTACATGGACCACGCGCTGGATGCGTGGCTCGCCTTCACAAACGTCACCGTTCCTCATGTCACGTCTACCAACGGGCCCTTGGTCGATGTCCTTTGTGCGTCCTTTGCGTACTCCTCTCTGTCGTTCTGGCTGTGCAACTGACCAAATGGCCAGACATCGTGCCCACGCGCAAGGCGAGCGCCATTACGTTCACCACGACATCCTCCATTCCGGTCCACACCACGCGAGGCCACTATGTCGCTCGAAAGGGCGTGACCTTGGGCCATGAAGACCTCAAGCTCTGGGGCCCCAGACTGCTCAACCACGAGACCGGCCACGCCATGTGCCTGCCTGACCTCTACCCGCTGCCGGTCGGATGCACGCAAAAGTACGTCGGCAATTGGGACCTCATGGCCAACACCGGCGGCCACAGCCCCGACTTTTTCGCGTGGCACAAGTGGAAGCTCGGCTGGCTCTTGGACTCGGAGGTCGACTGCATCATCGGCACTGGGTCTACGACGCACACACTGTCGCCGGTGGAGATCATGGGCGGCGGCGCACACACCAAGGCTGTCGTCGTGCGACACAATAGCACGACGGTGTTCGTAGTGGAGGTGCGCTCCAACTTGGGAAACAACCATGGTGCGTATTCGCAAGGTGTGCTGCTCTACATGGTGGCGACGGACGTCGAGACAGGCAAGGGTCCGGTCCGTGTGCTGGATGCCAATCCCGGACTGAAAGGGGAGCGATGCGAGTCGGATTGGCTTGATGATGCACCACTGTCATTGGAGCGGGCAACCTCATTTACGGCTGAGGAGTGGGGAGTGACTGTAAGTATTCTTGACAAGATGGAAGAGGATTACACCATTCAAGTGGATGTAGAGAGATGAGGGGTGCGTGAGAGAGACGTCGAAACCATACTCTTCTGACTCTATTTCACTCGGTTACTAAAACCTATGCGCGTGGGTGAGCAGAGCAAAGAAGTCTTCCGCAGGTGACAATCGCAGTCAATTCTTAGGTCAAGAGTAGAAGTCCATCTGGATTTTGGCCCTTCGCAGCCCTTATATACGCCCTCACGTAGCTCCCAGCACCTAGCCAGCTCCCTACTCTGTGGCTTCGCAGGTGCCTCCTGACAAGCTTTGACTGGTCTTCACTGACGTGACCTTTTAGGGTCCGTTCAAGGCATACTGCGAATGATAATTGCCTACTTGATAGTGCTTGCCAATGTAATACCTAGGAATCGTATCACATTCAGCTATTTTCCTATTCGTAGGTGAAAGCTTTTGGCCCATCTCGTGCTTGACCCGAGAGCTTCATACACAGGTTGGGTCTGGTCGTGGGCCGCAGGTGGGGATCATCATAACGAGCTAGGTCGACAGGATGAACCTCGTACAATTGCTTAGTACAACGTATACTCCATATTGTCCTTCATTCGGGTTCTTTGTCTGTCTCTTATTTGGCCTCCTTGATCGTAGTTTAATCGTCATAAAGCACCTCCCCAGCTTCGGCGCGAAAACATGAGTCGTTATCGCGGGGATCTATAGAGATGACGGTGCTCTTCAAAGCAAAAATGCAAGCGCCGCTCATTTTCGAGGGACATCTCGGTTGGTTGATGTATTTCGAGGGTATACCACACTCAGAGATGGAGGCGAACAAGGTGCATAGAATGTGAGCCAGAACTTTGAGCTAAAGCAGGGCGATTGGCAAACCTTGAGCAGTGCGTAAGATCCACAGCAGAGACCAAACTGCCCACCCAAGAGCGGTTCATTTGAATCCCGTCGGGCTCGCTTTCGTTCGCTTTCATTGCAGCTGACATGTCGGGCAGAATATGCCGTGCGTGGGCGGCGGTGTAGAACAGGGCATCCGGGGTTAGAGTGGCTTGACTCACATCCTTGGGAACGCACACAGCCATGCTCCGCATTTCCGGAGAGAATATCAACGACAAACCCTCTCATGTATACATGTATACACACGTTGTGCGCTTTTTTTCAGTGATGCTTTAATAGGGGGAAACTCATTCATGCGACAGAAGAGTCTGCATCAGATGCTGTGAGAAGAATCCCGCCGTCTTCATTGTTGAGCTTCAGGGCCAAGACCGAAAATGATGTTGACGGTGCACTGTCCGATGGTAAGAAGCCCAAGCGCAGTTGGGGTCCCATTCCGTAGACCTGCTTGTTAACAAGGTTGGGCATGGTGCTAACTTCGAACGATTGCTGCCACGCAGGGATGGTCACCAAACACGTTTCTCCCGAGTTTCGAAGACTCGTCTTCTTCGTTGTGAAGAGCGAAAGCAAGCCATCTTAGTTCTCGCCGCAAGACAATGTTTCCTGTGTGATAATGATACGAAGCACGTATGGGTCTGAGTACGAATGTATGAGGTATTGCCGAGGATATCTGAAAACGAACGCCGTCATCACGAGGCGACCGCGGCATGAGGCTTTGCAACTTCCCTCGTAGCATCAGGCATAAGCCAGCGCATCTTTAGGCTCGAAATCCCTTCCTCTTCATTAGGTAATGGCTGTCAGCAAGGAACAATTGCGCCAGCGCCAAATCATCCGACCCAGGCGAGTTTCAGCGTGTCGAGAAACGGTAAACGGACGAGTTCTAGCACCGGCTTCAAGCATCGGCGAAGGCCATCGCAGAACGAAGCGCGAGTGAGTCAAGACGCAAATGCTAACCTTCACTTTGGCGCTGTGACAAACGACCACCATTCAAGACCAAAGAATGATGTGATTTTCGCATCACCGGCCATGTCACCAATCGATTCGCTGCTTCGGTGACCGAGCTTCCAATCGCGGGCCCGATGTCGACCGAGACGCGACTTCGCTGGTAGAAGTCTGGATTTGGACGCGCCCCACAGGCAGTGGCCGGAATCCACGCCGCAGTTCGTGGCCGGAATCCCTCCGGCCTGGTACGAGCGCAGCGGAGCTCTGAAGAATTCCATGACTCCGGAATCGGGGACCCACACGGAAGAGGGCTCGGGTTGAAGCTAAACCCAGGCAAACGATTTTCACGCCTTTTTGACTAATAGGATCCATATTGCCAGGCAAAAATTGCTTCACAAAGGATCATGTTTGTGTAGTTGCCCGTGAATATCCGAAGCACGCTCGGGGGATGGCACGATGTGACCTGGTGAAAAAACATATATCACCTCCTCCAGGCCCCCCTCACCCAGGAGAGGTGGCCACAAAATTAACTGGCAAAAACAAGATAGCCATGGCGACGCAGACCTCCACGACCACAGCTTACCAGCTGGAACAGCTCCCCAAAGGCCCGGCAGATCGTGCCGGCGGTACAACCCTGCGCCAGGCTCGTTCGGCGCACCATGAAGTCGACCCCTCCGACTCCGATCTCGACCCCGTGCTTGAAGCCTCTCGCATCGCCGACAGCACGGTACCGGATGGCGGGTACGGCTGGGTCGTCATATCGGCATGTGCCATTGTTGGCTGGTGGTTCTCCGGCGTCAACTACAGCTGGGGTGTCATGCAAGGCGCCCTTGTCGAGCGTGGCGTCGGGTCCGCCTCGGTGCTCTCCTTCTGCGGCGCTTTGTCACCAGCTCTGATGGCATCCCTGGCCATCATCAATGCGCGCGTTGTTCGCTCGCTTGGAACCCGCAAGCTGGCTCTCATGGGTATCTTCTTTGTCGGCATGTCGCAGATCGGCGCCAGCTTCGTGACGCATAGCACCGTGGGCTTGTTCTTCCTGCCCGGTGCCCTGCTTGGACTGGGCATGAGCTTTTGTTTCATGGCCGTGACTGTGACGCCTGCGCAATACTTCTCGAGGAAGCGAGGGCTGGCCAACGGAATCGTGTACGCTGGCGGCGGCTTCGGGGCAGCCGTGCTGAGCATCGCAACCAACGCCATGATTGAACGATATGGTGTTGAGTGGGCGTTCCGAATCATTGGCATTGTATGCTTCTCGACGGGATTCCCGGCGGCCTACATGATCAAGGAGCGCATTCCCATTCAGACCTCTGGCTTCATTGACTGGTGAGTTGAGCATTAGGATAGATGTGGACGAGCCACGGGAAGCTGAATCGAAGCAGGAAGCTTTTCCGACAGGGCAGCTTTAACATCATTTTCGTTGCTGGCGCGATTGGTGTCTTCCCGCTCCTCGTCCCGCCTTTCTTTATCCCGTTGTATGCACGCTCGATGGGATTGAGCACGAGCACCGGAGCAGCTTTGCTGGCCGGCTATAACTTTTCGTCAGCAATTGGTCGAATTATCAGCGGTCACTTGTGTGACATTCTTGGTCCCTTGAATACGCTATTCGCCTTCCTCGCCATCAACTCCCTGACCATGATTGCGCTCTGGCCAGCCTCGACGACGCTTGCTCCGTTGGCCGCATTTGCCGTTATGAATGGTCTGACAAACGGCGGGTTTTTTGCGTCAATGCCAACGTGCATTGGCAACATCTTCGGTTCGGCCCGTGTGTCGACTGCCATGGGCATGATCGTCACGGGGTGGGTCGGAGGCTATCTTTTCGTAAGTCCTTGACGAACGGGGCCAGTACAATTGAATGCTAATCGTGCGTTCTCAGGGCTCTCCCATTGCAGGGTACCTGCTCGACGCGTATGGCGGCGCAGATGAGGGCTTGAAGGCGTACCGCCCTGCCATGTTCTATGCCGGATCAGTGTCGTTGGTGGCCACAAGTCTGATTTTGTTGATGCGGCTGCGTATCAACAAGAAGCCGTGGGCCAAGGTGTGAGCGGTAAGGGTATTGCAGCTATTAGACTGATAATGCAGGAGGTTGAACCGCTCCTAGGCTTCAAAGACGCCCAGCGTCAATGTCAGAGGAAGATTGCCAACCTCAGCCCAAGCAAGGGCTCGTTGCACGCCACCGGGGGAGCCGCGTGGTTGATGCTCTACCGGGCTCCATGCGTGGCCTGAAGGGGTGACCGCTGATCGATCGATAAGCGAATCGAAAGCTGGCTGGGATCTAATCACATGTCGAGGATCGAAACGATGAAGGAGCGGTGGTCAATGACAGCTTTGACCCGCCTGCACACGCGAGAGAGCTGAATTATGAGGTATAGACGATTAGACTAGGAGGGGATAAAAAAAGCAAAACACTGCAATTTCTTATTCACCAGCGTTTTCTTTTGCTTTTGTTGACGAGCTGAGCCCTCGGTTGACACTAAACGCGCCAGTCTCGTGGCACGGACAGCCACGTGGACGTTCGCCGCGTGGAAAAAGCAACGCGTCTGTTGCTAGTTGTGGCTCGTTCGGATTGTTCAAGGAACAGGTCGATCATGGTTTGTAAGCAATTGAGAATCGTGAGTCGTTGCCATCAGAGGAGTGAAGCTGGCCAACCAACGTGGTTGCAACAGAAATCCAATAACTCGGGCCGAGCCGATTGTACCTGATCTAAGCCAGGATCGATCGATGGGGAGGGGAAACGCAGCGGATAATATCATTTAATAAGGCATTAAAGTGGGTGATGGAGGGCATGCCAGAGTTGCTCGTATGGTTCAGGACGTGGGTGCAGTGATGGAAGAAGTATGGCCAAGGCTTCCAGAGCCAACGATGGCAGGAGGCGATCGCTCAGGCCCCGGTTAGTGTGATATGTCCACAAGACGCACCATTCCGATAACGGCATAGACACACCTACTCATCAGCCCATGGACATATAACGTCGCCACGTGGGGGATGGGCCTGCTCCCTGAAACGCCCCGCGAACCCCGCTCAAGCCCCAATGGGCCAATGAATGGCGCCGACTTAGCAACTGGCAAGGCCAACCGGCGCAGGCCAAGCGGCCCCCGGCCTGGAGCTGCCCCAAGCTGCAACCCTCCCAAGAACGATAGCTCAAGCCCAGTCGTACGATTCCGACTTCTAGGCCCTGGCTTGTCCTGTCCTATCCAGTCCACGCACAGCTGAAAGGCCACCGTCGGCTGTTGGCTCCTCTGCATCGTCCTCCACTTCTTGCCGACAGGAGCGTCGAAACCGCGACAATGATGTTCGGCGGGATTCTCACTCTCATCATCACGGGCACCATCTCCAGCCTGCTGCTGGCCAGATCCCCTTTCATGATGCCCTACACACCAGTAACGACCAGCAAGCCGTGGGCAGATGGGCCCATGGCCCTGATCATTACGCCGCAGTTTGAGACGAAAAAGGTATGCCGTGCCAATTGTTGCCCCTCCGCTCGATCCGGTCCATTGCACCGAGGCAGAATCGCAGAGCTGACGCGTGATTGCACGTCTCCCAGACCGATCTCTTCACGACCGGTGCAACCCACATGGCTCTGCTGCACAATTCAATCCTACGAGGCTACAATTCCATTTATCATCAAGCACCACATGTGCAAGAAGACGACAAGGAGGACTTTATCGGCTATGCTTTGACGTGGTACAAGTTCGTCAAGTCGCACCACGACGACGAGGAGGAGGTGCTCTTTACCAAGGTCGAGGAACTTCTGGGCGACAAGACCGTCTTCGACAAGACATACAAGGAACATGGTATGCGCGGTGCCAAATCGTCCCTCCCTGATTGTCGGCCGACAATGGCTAACCACGATGTGCAGAGGCGTTCCTCAAAGGCCTTGCTGAATTCAAAGCCTACCTCTCGACCCTCCAAGAGCCATCGCACTTCTCCGCCGCCGAGCTCCGCCGCATCATGTCCACCTTCCAAACCGCCTTTGAAGACCACTTCCACTCCGAGATTGATACAATTGCCGCCCTCGCCAACCACCCCAAGGCGCCACGCGAGGGTACGCCCGAGGCAGCCGCCGCCAGCGCGGCCTTCAAGAGCTGGGGTAAGAACACAGTCACCAAGGCTGGCACGACCGATGTCGTGCCCTTCTTCCTCATGAACCTCGACCGCGGCGCCGAGGGTGGCATGTGGGCGCACTGGCCGCCCATTCCCGCACCCATCAAATGGGGACTAGTCAACATTGCAGGGTCTTGGTACTCTGGCCGCTGGAGGTTCACGAGCTGCGATGCCAATGGCAGGCCGAGAGAGCTGTATGCCCTTCGGTTCCCGGAGCTGACGCATTAAAGACACGAGCGACGAGTGTTTCTACGGATGATCTACGACGGAATCCTGGCCGGGCTCACCAGGGCGGTGTTTTTTTTCTTTCCCATTTGGAGCTTGGACGGTTACTTTGATACCAGTGTGTACAACAGCATGTTTTTCAATGAAATTCAAACGCGCGGGGGGATTGTTGTTTGTTCCCCTCCCTCCCCCTCAAGATGCGTCGATCCTGAATCTCCTGCGGTCGAGCATGACGCCTTGCTCTCCAGGTGGAACACGTCGAGTCATAGCGCGACGCTCGAGCTCGACCGTCGGATGCTTTTTCCAGGCAGAAGCAATTCCTCGTGTTCGTCCGAACTCTGCGATGAGGGACCCGCCACGTGCTAGGGAGTAATCCGCGTGGCCGCTTGCAGGTATCTCGTGGCTGGTGTCTTCGGAGTTCGGAGCCGGCAGTGGGTGGGTGATGGGCCTTGTTGAGCGATCTAGATATGACTAGATGTATACTGAGCCCACTTGGTCTCATCAAAAATGCGTAGTCAGGGGCCAGCACCTGCTAGGCCACGCTTGTGGTCCCTTGCATCATGGCTTCGTAGGGCTTCGAGATTATTCACAACCAAGGTTGCCTTCTCATCTGCACGGCCCGAACATGATGCCAGTGCGAGCCATCAACATTGTGCGATGTCCAGAGGCTGACGAAGTCGTGAGGAGACTGCGACCCCCAAGCGATCATGTAGTCATGTGGTTTTGTCAGAAGTTCCGCCAGCTAAATTTGGCCAGCAGAGTATCTCGATGTCAACCCATCACCTCAACATGCCCGCATCAAGGCTCTGATACTGATTCGCCATTTCTCCTAGCAACTACACCATGCCTCAACCACAGCAAACTGTCGAACTCTCGCCCGCTGAGGTCGGCCCTGTCGAGCCACCAATCTTCTCCCAGTGGAAAATGAAGGATCCGAGGTAGGCGCCGATGAAGATGCAGATGATGATGTAACCGTTGTAATACATGGCGAGCCTGGGAAGCCATTGTGTCAGAACAAATCGGCCTCTTATGGAACAAAAGTTCAACAAGGACAAGGGGCACCTACAGCATGACAAAGTATGCGACGGCAAACTGAAGCAGATGCAGCAGCGCCCTGACGGCCTGCTGGAGGAACGAAGGGCGGAACGGCGCCGTGATCGCAATGCCGCCGGCGCCGAGGGGAGCCGCGCCTTCGCCGCTGTTCTTACCGCCAGAGGCAGAATCGTTGCTCGCAGCTGCAAAGGGGCCTGCGCGTGCGACGACCCCGGCGGCGTGGGAGCGGATGAGGTAGCGGTCGTACTCCTTGCCGGCGCGGCGGAGGGCCTCGAGGGACAGGACGAGGAGCACGACGCCTATGCAGGAGCCGGCAAACATGCCGGTGGACGTAACGTGCCACGACTCGGAGATGAAGCACGAGTCGATTGTTTGCCAGTTCCAGAGCATCTGTGGTTCAGGACGGCAGGTTAGCGCTGGACGAGAACCAGGGAACATGGTGGGGGTCGTCGACAACGGTCCTGGAAGTGTACTCACGGATATTTTGCAACCGCCCATCATGGCTGACATGTCCATTTCATCGTGGCCGCTGGTGGCCGCAGCGTCGGTACCGGCGGGCATGTCCATGCCTGTTGCTGTTGGCATGAGCATGGAGGTGACTGTTGAAGCCATGGTCATGGCACCGTGGTCCATCTTTGTGGTGATAGCTGTTCGTGGAGAAGAACTGTCTTCAGAAGATGCTTCGTGGTATGGGAAACAAGACTCTGAATAGGACTGTGGGCGAGGCGCGGAAGTGGTAGCCTTTATATGGCCGGCCGGCCAGGTCACCTAAGTTTCAAGCTCTTCTGTTGGAAGGGTCGCGCGGCATATCAAGGATTAAATCAGCCCATGCAGGTCATTCAAACAATGTGTGACCCATTCTGTGGTTTGGGTTTGTTCCCATGTATTAGGGGCCTTTTGTATGCCACCCTGTTGGGAGAGGAGGGGCAGGAAGGAAGTTGCTGGGACGCCACCATGCATTGGCCCCCAAAGCTTGACATGATCCATACCTCTACAAACGGATTATATCTCTTGGGAACAGGGAGCCCCCCATTCACCACATGCCTGGTAAGCGTGACAATATTTGACCTGATGAACAGGTCGAAACCATCAGACCACGATGAACAGCACCCTGCGGGGCCTAGCCTATGCAGCACCACTGATCGACATGGGATGTTGACAAGCCCATGAAGGTTATGCACCTCGCTGGCGAAATCTTCGAATGGGGTCAGATGGTGGCGTGGGAAGGTTGGACGCCCCTCAGCCTCTCGTGATGTTTGCGAGAGTTTGAGCAAGTTTTCCTCACCGAGCAGGGCTGGCCCAGGTCCAAAATGATAAGGACTGCTGGGAGGCCGAAGCTAGGCTTCAGGTTCATTGCCAAACTCGGGTGGTGAGTTAATTCCGCGTCGATCTGTCTCTTCGAGTTGACTACTAGCCATTCCGTCTTGCGTTCAGAGCTCGTGCAGGACGTTGCAACACGAGCATGCCAGCGAACGATGACTGGCTATTCCAGACGCGGTGGGACCTATGAGCAGAAACGTGCATACAACGTGTCCCGCAGTCCCGTGACCTGCTTCGGAAAGTAGGAGGAATGAGGCGATCAACAGACTGTGACTATAGACAACCAGGAGCTATCCCAAGAGGTAGGCGGGCTTGAAGCCAAATGCGAACTTGATGCTGGATTGTAAGGTAAGGTATCTAGGTAGTCTCTGTGTCGGTGGAGGGTTACTTCTCTCGGTAAGATGGCAGATCCTCGGTAAACTTCTCGGTGTGGAGAACTCTGTGTGCAAGGAGCGTCGAGCTGCACGTCACGTCGCACGGGACTTGACCTTGCCTCGTCCCCACCAAACCTCCGGCCAGAGCTCAGAGCTGCCTGCAGCTGCCACGTTCCTCAGCTGCGTGCAAACCATCGACCCCATGTATGCAAGCAAGCTCCGAGCTGCACCCGCTACCCTGCCATCAAGAGCACACTACGACATGACGGGGACGCCAATGGGCGCGTTCCCGCGACACGGCCACCATGTATAGCCGCGACAACAAGATCATGCGGAAGCTCCTCGGAAAGGCCTCTGCCGACAACTCTACCGACACGACGAGCCCCGGTATTGGCATCACGAGTGCGCCGCATCTGCCGTCTTCGTTCCGCCCCAACTTTTCTCAGTACGCCGTCTACGATGCGACCTACCCCATCTACAGCATCGATGCCCCGGCCGATCGTCGCTCCGTTGTCCTGGCCAGTCGCCATGTCCTCAAGACTGTGGTCTTTGATGGCCTCAATATCGTCGATGGCGTTGACGTTCGAGCTGCCATCGTCTCGGCGTCCAATCCAAACAAGGGCGCATCGTCAGCGACGGCCGATCAGCTCTCCGTGAAGGAGGTGAAATGGCATAAGGACTCGACCATCTTCACTGCCTGTACCAATGGCAAGATCTTCTCCTACGATCTCGCAAGGATAGCCGCCGGCGGTTCCCTCATGGACTGCGTCCAGATGAGGGAGGACTCGCGCCAGGTCAATACCCTCGACATCAACCCCCATCGCCGGAGCTTGCTGCTGTCGGGCAGCCAAGACGGTTTCGTGCGCTACTTCGATATCCGCGCGCCCGTGCAAAGCCGCGCTGGCGGCATGACGTACCAGGCCAAGGCAGCCTTTAAATGCAATGCCGATGGCGTTCGCCAGGTCCGTTGGTCGCCGAAAGAGGGCATGTATCTGGCATGTGGCACCGACGGTGGCGTGGTCTTGAAGTGGGATTTGCGAAAGCCGACCACGCCGCTGCTGCGCATCACGGCACACGAAAAAGCCTGCACGTCCATCTCGTGGCATCCTGATGGGAACCATCTGGTCAGTGGCGGCATGGATCAGAAGTGCGCCGTCTGGGACTTCTCCAAGGACGCTGACAAGCGCCAAAAGCCGAAGTGGTCGATCCAAACGCCCGCCCCTGTATCTGTCGTCAGCTGGAGGCCGGGGCTGTGGTCTGCCAGTGCGCAGGGCAAGCGTGCCGCCCAGATTGCCGTGTCTTACGACGATGCCAGTCTCAAGCGTTTCGGAGTTCGCGCGGCCCATATCTGGGATCTGGCGAGGCCTACCATCCCGTTCAAGGAGCTCAACTGGTTCAATTCGCCGCCATCAAGCCTCATGTGGCTTGACCAAGATCTTCTCTGGGCTGCTGGTGAAGATGGCAAGTTTCACCAGTGCGACGTTGCCTTCGCCCTGAAGACCATGGATCGAATGACGTCCTCCAGCATGGCCTTTTCTTCATGTGGGGACGTGGCCATGTTTCTCGATGAAAGACCGCATCAGCGGCCGAGACCGACTGTGGTGCACCGCAAGGAGGGTAATGTGACACCTCGTTCCGTCTACGGGTCCAGTCCTACAACACCCCAACTCAGCATCAGTCGCAGCGATTCCGAAGATGACGCTGTTGGCAGCTTTCTCGGGCCACGGCGGAAGCTGAGCCGGAAGAGGAGGCCTAGTGTACGCTCCATACCCGCGCTCAGCACAACGCCGCCGTCTGGTTCCGCAGACGGGGAGCCTGTACTATCTTTAGAGCATGCCATGAGAGTTACTGGGGTGTACAAGACACAGCAGGCCATGGCGGTTGGTCGCGTCCCTGCTGCTGCCAAGGTCAACCACTATCAGTACCTTTCCCAGTGCTATCTCGAGACACTGGACCGCGAATTACCGCAAAGAGAAGGCGGGAAAGCACTTGTGGACCGTGTTGCAACTATACTGAATGAGTTTGCCTACGCTGCGGAAGGTGTTGGCCAATTTCGACTGGCACAAACGTGGCGCATATTGGGGTACGCCATGGACCTCCTCCTCAGACGAAGAGCCCAGTACCATCTCGAGAGGCGATTGGGTCATTTCCAGAAACGACCTTCAGTAACCAAGTCAAAAGACGGAGCCGTCAAAACCGCCGATCTCAAGAGTTTCCAGGGCCTGAGCCAGGACAGCATGAAAGCGCCAAACCCGCTTCGCCGCGCCAGTGCGGTGTCCGTCCAACTGGAAAGCCGCTCCCTCTCTGTCAGATCCCTTCTTTCGGAAGAGATCGAAAGCACCTCCAACGTACCGACTCCGCTCGCAAGGCCGGTGCATGAAGACGATCCCAATACAGATCACGGCAGCCTCAGGCCCGGCAAGAAGTTGACACCCGTCTTTGAACTAGACAGTTTCGCCTTACCCCCAGCGGTCCACAGTACGTTCAACTACAGTCCGCGCAAACGACTGGACTCAGCTCCTTTGTCACTTTTGAGCCACGAAAGCGACCAGACAGAGGCCTCGCATACTGAGGGGTACGACTTTTATGATACTGACGCACTCTCCCTTGCCGTAGATGTCCCAGAGCCAGAGAAGAAGGATGAAGCGCACTCACCCGGTGGTGGATCTCGTTCGAAGAGACCTCCCAAAGTGATGAGGCACGACTCGGATGACAGCTTCTTGCAAATGTTCTCCATTTCGGATGGGAGTCGAAAGTCCGCCAACCTTTCCCTGCCAAAAGCAGGCGCCGCAAGTGAGCTTAAAAAGTCCGAGTTTGAACCCGTGCAAGAGCACGACGATGAGCATGGCGAATACGAGAGCCGCATCCGAGGGAAAGAGATTGAAGAGTCTCCCGAGCTCCACAACCTGTCCTCCATGCAGATGAGGCGAGGCTTGCTGCCGATGAGTAACTCCCCCGAAGAGGTGTTCATGATTTCACAGACAACCATTGGCGACGATGAAGATCCCTCAGCCTCAGAAGTCTCGGCGCGTCGGTCACAGTCAATCGTATCGGATGCGCCTACCTTTGACGATGACGCCCCTCTTCATGTTGGTGTCGTCTCGGCGAGCCCACCCCAGGCGCCAACCGAATCGCAGATGCTAGACGTATCTCCAGTCATCATCGAAAGCGACTACCTCCCCTGGTCTGATGATCCCCCTTACCCACAGAAGTTGGCGACCGAACTCAACAACAAAGGCTACACCATTCCAACCCCGCCCCTCGACCCGTATGGTCTCATCACGAGCACTCTCGATTTTGAACTCCGCACATCCAATCTTAACGCTGCGGCAATGATTCTACTTCTCAGGCCGCTGGTTCCGGAGGCACTCATCGACGCCCACCGCGCAGCCTCAATCCTGCGCGCATACCACGCTCGACTCGCGTCTATGCGCCACTTTGTCGAGGCCGCGCTTTTGCGAAACCTCTGTGTCAAGGGCTGGCCCGAGAGCCTGCCTGAATGGGGCGAATCTTATACCGCAATTTTCGGCCCCGCCCAACAAGGCGTCAAGGCGGGCTTCCTGTGCCCTTCGTGCCGCAAGCCGCGTGAGATAGACCCCCGCCAGGGCTCTGGTGCCATCTGGCAGTGTGAGCGATGCAGGACTCACATGGCTCCTTGCGCGGTGTGCGGCCATCGCGAGGCCAGTCCCGTCGTTCTCCCGCTGACAGAGGGCATGGACGCCAAGCAGCGTGCCCAAGTTGCCGAGGAGGAGATCATGGGTCTGTGGTGGTACTGTCCGGGCTGTGCGCACGGCGGCCACGCAACGTGCCTTCAGGGCTGGCATGCTCCGGATGGCTTCCACGGCGACGCGCCCCCTGCCGATGGCAGCGACGGCTGCTGCCCGCTCGATGGGTGCGGCCACGCCTGTCTGCCCGGTAAGTGGCGCGATGAGAGGGCGACGCAGCGCGCGGAGGAAGTCGGCCGTGCGGCGCTCGACAAGGCGCGTGCGCAGGCGCAGGTGCAGCGCAAGACGAGCCTGAGCGGCGGGCGAGGCAGAGGTCCTCCGTCACCGGGAGTGGCCATTCGAGGAGACGGTGTCGAGGTCCCGCAGAGTCGGGCCGTTGAGAGCGTGCGCGAGGCGCTGGCGAGCGGAGGCGGTGCTGCCATGAGCTCGGGTCCTGGGGCCAGCATCCTCAGCTCCAGTCCTGGCCGAGCAGGGGAGCGAGATCGCGAGAGAAGAAAGAGCGTCAAGTTTGTGCCGACGGACCGCTAGGCACGGTCTTTTTGGGTCGGCGGCAGCGATGGGCACGACGGAGGCGAGTCGCATCGGCTCGGGGGAAGGTCGGAGCACGGGGTCATCAGATGCATTCCTTCATAATACGGCTTTAGGCGTTTGGTTCTAGAAAGGGCGCTCCAGGCTCCGGAATGGCTGTATGGGATTTGTACTTTACGGCGGCTACACACCCCAGGTAGGCATTCGTCAATGGCATGGAAGAATTCTACGCTTACGGGCCTGAGAACTGTTTACCCGTTTCCCTCTTGAGCCCTCCCCACCGACATCAGAGCAAAGTCGAGCATCCACGGCACGACTGCTTGAAGCAAGTACACAGCCCCAATATTCACTTACCCACGTTCTCCCTGAACCCTTTGGTCCGGAGGGAAACCTTCATGTGTCCCTCGTCAAAGCCGAGGCCCAAATCCTCCGACGCCCTTCTGAGACTCTCGGCGGCCTGTCCATTGGCACTGCTGGGTCTGCTACCCGTCACGCTGCCGTCTGCCTCGCCGTCTCCCGTCGTGATGCGACCCTTGAGATGACCGGCCCACAAGCCCCTGACGCCACCCCGTTTGCGCTCGGGCACGTCCTCTGTGCCGGCGCTGCAGACGTAGAGGAGATACTTCAGATTCGGGAGGGAGTGGCGAATGTCAACGACGCGCAGCGACTGATGGGCGCAGAGGGCCTCGATGTCCTTGTTGAGGAGGAACCAGGCGTAGTCGAAGCGGAAGTGGGCTGCTGTCGAGCCGCCTCTGGGAAGATAGAGTGGGAATTCACGGGCTGGGTTGTTGCCGAGCGTAGACGAGGCGCCATGAGTGTGTCTGGAGGCCGGGTTGTCCTGAAACGCAGATATATCATCCCGGATGGTGGAGCGGGAACCAAAGGGGTTGATGTCGTAGGGCAGTGGGTGCCGCAGGTAGTACTGCAGGTTGTGGGTAAGCATGGCCACGTGGCCGAGGGCAGCCGACATGACATCCTCGTTCGGATTCTTGGACGACGGGCTGTCGTAAGATGTATTCTGCAGTGGGAGGCCGCAAATCTGAAAGGACAATGGCTCGCCTGAAGGACACGGGGTGATGGGGAAGATGTTGGACAGGTCGGAGCAGATGCGCCGCCGCTGGCCGCGGATCTGCTCCTGCGTCTGTGCGAGCATCAATTTTGAGCTCTCCAGCGGCTCACGCGCCGCAACAATATCCCGCTCTGCTTTGGCCTGCGCTTCGCGGCCTGCGGCGATGGCCTCGCGCCTCGCTTTCAAGGACGCTTTGAGTTCATCGCGTCTCTTCTCTGCTGACTTGATACTCTTGGCCTGCTGAGAGACGTATCTCTGAGCGAGCTTTACTCTCTCTTCGGCCAGTGGGGCATCGTTCCTCGGTTGTTTGGAAAGAAGCTCATTGATTTGTGTAGTAATGTGCTCCTGTGTGGAAAGAGCATCCTGGATAGAACTGTCCAGAGTTGCAAGCTTCATGAGGGCATTATAGGAGGACGTCGGCAGCGTTGCTGTGGCCTTCGGCTTCGACTTACGAGCCGGAAGGTCGAGAGAATAAACGCCATCCTCGAGATGAAAAATCAGGCCGTTAAGGGGAAAGCGTTGATTTAGCAGAGTGCCCAGGAAGTTGAGAGACCGCAGGTCCACGACGTCCTCTTGATGTAGAAACCATTCCTTTGAACCGACGTATCGCTTTGTCCATATTTTGATCGTTACCAGCGGGGAACGCGTCACAGAGCTCCCGTGCTTGGAAAGATTAAAGAAGAGAAAGTTAAAGTTCTGTGACAATGGCTGTCAGTTGAGAACAAACAAGAAGGAAGGAGCAGAGGCACTGACTGTCTTTCTCTCCTGCGTTTCGCTGATGTAGATTGGATCATCTTCACCGTCCACATGCATGGAAAAGAAGGCATCCGCCATGCGACTGTTATAGAGCGCCTCCAGCTTCTTTTGCTCAGAGACGGGGCTATCCTGCGTCAAGGTGGTGCTCCTACGCCGCATCTTAGGCCGCAGGTCTTCCGACGACAACGCGTGATGCAGCTTGGGCGTTTCTCTCAGAGTATCGGACTTCTTCGGCGATGCGTGGATGGCGACATCATCGGTAGTGCGGCCGCGCGGCCGCTGAAAGCTGAGGTTTCGCAGGTAGATGCCCTGAAGGTGCCGGAGCTTGCGGTTCTGGGGAAGCAGTCGGGGCGCGCGTGATTCGGTCGGCATGATGCATGTCGCTGCTGGCTGCAGCTTGTCCTAACTTCTTGTCTGCATAGGATCTTTCGTTGGAGTTCGCGACGCGTCACGCTGGTGGAATGGCAATGGCGGTGATAATACGAATGGAGGTGACGTCGGCAGTTTGGTAGGATCACCATTCGCTGGAGGCCTTGGCCTGGAGCTTCGAGCTTGAGCTCCATTACCCCACGTCGCGTGAAGAAAGATCGCTCACTATGATATCGATATATCGGGGTGCTACTGGGTTCAGTCAGTCCTGATAAAGCGATGACATTCATCTGAGCTTCTAAGCCGCTCCCAGCACAAGGCAGCTTTAATATAATGGCAATGTGCGCATAATTCACACGAAAGATAAGGCAAAGTAAGGAGATTCTAAGCAATGAATAGGATGGATGTGATAATTGGAGTTTTGGAGGTCCCAGCAATCGATCTGCATGTTTTTGAACGCTTCTGGTGGTCATCTTGTACAGTCTCATTTTCTGGAGAAATCAAAACTCATGCAATGTGTGGGCATATTCGTCCCATTCATACAGACTACAGGAACCAGAGACGGGAAGTGTTGCAGACAACATACGAATTGACCGCAGCATCAATTATATAGGGATCATTGCAGCCCTCCAAAAAACGTAAAGCAGATGCAGATACAGATTTCATACTACTCCCGACAGCGCAACCCACCCAGTTCCCAAGTTTCTCTCGTTACACCTAACTCTCGACGAAGGAAAAACTTCAGTGCGTCGGGTCGGCCTTGCGAAGACAGTTCAGCCAGTTTCGGTTTTCCGAAACCTTCCGGGCGCCATCAGTCTGCTCTTTCTTGGTTCTTTTCGATCCACGTCCCTTGGCAACACGAATCGCACCCCGCGCAAGTGTAATGCCAGCGCGAGCAGCAGCTGAACCGACTGCGGCAGCGGTTCTAGCAACGGCTGCGAAGATGGGAATCAGGAAGCAGAAGGGGCAGCGCTCCTCCACCTGATGCATGTGCTCCTCGGACCGCACAGCGATATCCGTGACCGGACTGTAGCGGGTGGCCCTGTCCTTAGTGGCCGCGCGGAGGCTGATCGAGCGAGACTCAACACCCTCGCCGACCGTGACCCACTTGTTGATGTAGTCGTCCGACTCGTAGACGGAGTCGTCGGCCTCTTGTCCCCAGGGGTCGATGGGGAGATGTTCCGGCCAGAACTGCAACAGATCCATGTCCTCGAGATACTCCTCGTCAAAGAACTCATCGGCAAACTCTGCAGCAGCCACGGCGCCCATGCCGAGGGGAACGAGAGCCAGGCAGCGGCCCATGCGACGGACCTTCTTGCGCTTGTCCTCGTCCTGCTTGTCGACATAGGCGCGCTTCTTCTCTTCCTTCTTCTTTTCGAACCGACGTCCCTTGTCCTTGTACTCGGCCGTCTTGGCCTCCTTCTTCTTGTCGAAGGCTTCTTTCTTCTGCCTCTTGCCTTCTTCATTCTTGATGCACTTATCGTAGCGCGAGTTGGCCGTTCTGCCCTTGGGGCAGCGCTTGCACTTCTTGCAGTCGTCTTTGTCGATGATTTTGCCGTTGGGGCACCGCGTGCGGCAGTTTTTGCAGGATTCTTGACGGGTGAAGAGATGGACTCCAACCACGGGCAGCGAGACGGAACCGAGATCGCGATTCAGCACCTGGGCGCTGGACCCATGCTGGCTGTCGTCGTTCTGGAGGCGACCGGCAAGAATCACGTTGGCCGGAAAGTGAGTGGCAGCAACATGATTGATGATGAAGAACACTGCTTTCGCAGCTTTGGAGAAATGCATGACGACGAGGAAAGGGAAGACGATGAATCAGGGTTCGCACACTCAAAATTATGTCTGTTGAGGAATGTGGTAGGCGGCGAGCCTTCGTGGACTACTCTGGGTCTGAGATCCGGCGAACAGGTCGTGAAAGGGTGTTAATGGACTTTTGTAAGAGGTAGACTGATGATGTCCAGGGACTCGAAGCACTGCGTCAAGAAGCGCCTCCCTGCAATGCACCAGTCCGCCGGTGATGGAAGGACTTTTGTGAGACCGCAGCCCGTCAGACTGAATAGATGCAGGGCCTTGATCCCCAGCCTGAACTAAAGATATCTACAGCATCCCAACTCCTATACGAGACATTGCTGCATGATGAAATCGATCCTCAATCGCATAGCCTACAGCCTGCTGTGAAGACGGGCGGACAGGGCTGATGGGTGCATGGCCGCGGGCATTAGCTCGGCAGTAAGCTTAAATTGTAGGCCGTGACAAGGGTCGAATCCTTCCTGAGCTACGCGCTAATTTCAGGGGGATTAACTAGCGATCTCTACCATGTAGTTCATATCGAGCGCTTCGCGGCGCCACCTCCATGGTAACCGTAGGACTTCGCCATTCGTTCGATGCGAATCCTTCGAACGGCCGAGGAGGTACCTAAGACTGTCACTCGCTTGCGGATCAGTCTGCGGCCCTACGACTTGACTCGGCGGCTGACTGCGCTGCTTGGCAAAGCGGTCTGGGCGTACAGTACCAAGGCAGGCTGTGAGCTGTACAACAGTGGATCAGCAAGCGCCAGGATCTATTTTCAGTTGGTTCTCGCTAGGTCCCGCCTGTAAACGCGTCCTTGGCTGCAAACGATGCGCTTGGAAGATTGATCCTGGCGGGCATTGTTGGACATTGGAAAACGGCTGTTCTCTTGACATCAACGAGATTACAAGAATGACAGATCAGGTACCAAGACCACGACGGCCTGGAAACGATGTGTTGATTGTTTAGCTATGGTGATCCAAGAGACTACATCGGACCTTACTCAGCATTAAGCGGGTTGTATTCCTACGTACTTTGCAAATTTCTTGGTTTAAACGTTGTCATGGAGTTGAGGGGTGATCACTTAGATTTGAGCCATTACATTTTGAGCAACATGTCTATCCCTCTTTCCAATACCTGCAGATACCAGTCCTTGCTTGCGAAACCCCACATTTGAATGAGGAGAGCGAATTCAGAGAGCTATTTGGTTCAACGCTCTAAGCACTGTCAATCACTGCCCAGGAGATGTGATAAAGCCTGCGGAATATGTCCACATACCTAATCGAACAGGTTCCAAACTTCGTACGAGCCAAAGTTGGCAGTCAGGCACAAGTCGTCTTCGTCACCGTTGGCGATGATAGTGTCCGGGTTACAGTCGTTAGAGCTGTAGAGAACCACTGTGAAAGGGTCGTCGACGGGACCCGTGCTCTCCACAATAACGGCCGAAGCAACGCCTCTGAAGTCCGTTCGGCAGCCGAGGCCAGGACCTCCAATGATCTCGCCCAGTCGTGCACCGCGACACTGAAGACCACCGTAGAAGGTGAACTTGTAGGCGTCTGTGAAACCCACTGCGACGGCAAGGCAGACGAGGAAGCGTGCCATGATCTTGATTGCAAACATGCTTGATAGTGTGAAAAAGATGAGTTGGGATGAGAGTGAGCGGATGCTGAGAGAGGAGAGTGAATGTACGTGTGGGAAATTGATGCGGAAAGCCTCGTTGAAACAAGATGTCAAAGACTGACCGGTTCAGACTTGTGTGCTGGCAGTCTATGAGACTTATATCTAATCGAGTGCTAGAATAGAACTTACCAAAGAGACATGCAGCTCGATCAAAAACCCGTTTGCTTGGTACTTCTTCAACTCAACAAGGCTGGTCGACAACACCGTGGGTCATCATCGCGGCAACATGCCCATTCCGCAACTTCAGGAGCACACCTATTTTGACACGCTGACTGACAGGGGTTCCCCGTCGTTCAGGGACCGCGGGGGCGTACCAACCTACCATATGCAACCCAAGATCGGGGCGGAGCCTATGCTTAAAGTGTTCTCCCCACCACAGGACGACTGCGCCCCCCTCCATTTGAACGACCAAGAAGCAAAAGTTCCAATCAGCTCTGCAGTCGCCCGACACCCTTCAGCGCTTACAGTGCTTACAACTCGGAAGGGACCCGTCTCCATGCGACGTTGGGATGACGGGCCAGGGCAGCTTGTTTCAAAGAGACGCCGCTGGGCCGGAAGGATTTCGCGCCAAGCTAGCCTTGTGATGTTGAACAAGGCTATCGCACCGGGGTCGAGTACTGTCAGCAGTGATCAGGCCTGGGCCCCAGAACGCCATGGCTTCGTCGCTGTGCATTATGCAACTTTACACCCTTCCGAAGCCTGATACCCAAGAATAGGTCTGGGTTGCGCTGGCGAGCGGCAGCATAGCCATCTGCTTCCAAGTTCGACCTGCCGGGAGCAAGTCAAGACAAAATCCTCTCAAGGAGTATGTCCGGGGTAAAGCCAAGACCTGACAGCCACGTCCACTTCCATCCTCTCTATTTATCTCAACATCTGCACAGCGTTGGTTCGGTTATTGTATCTGTTCGTTTACTTGGCTTTAGGCTTGTTCTGCTGCACTCATCCCCTGAATCCAAACCATTCCCACATAGCTCCCCCTTCCACGGTTGGCTGCCTTCCCCAGGACGAGTTGGGGCACGATATTTGTGTATTCTTTCTCGACATTTCCACTCTTTCTTCTTACTCTCCTTCTCTTCTCATAGCGTCAAGTTGCGGATCATTCACCATGCATTTCACCAAGTCGATCTGGAGCTTGGGTCTCCTCGGGCTCGTGGCCGCCAACCCGTGGCCGAAAGTCAGTCCCGAAGACAGCCTCATTGCGCGGGGCGACCTCACTCTTCGCCAAGAACCAGAAGACATCTGCTCGATCGACACATGCGGCAGCGAAGCCGAGTGCCTGATAGCTCGAGACATTGTGCCTCCGCTGATCGGCCGCGACGAGTACAACGCCGTCAACGACACGGCCGAGGAGGAGCTCGCGCTCCTGAAGAGAGACATTGATAGGCCTGGGGCCGGCCAGCTTGACGGCTGGTTCAAGGCCAACTGGGAGAGCGGCAACGTCGTCAATATCCCGTTCAGGCCTGACGACGATGGCGAATGGTATACGGCTCGCTATCGCGAGTTCCTTAACAAGCCGTTCAAGATGGGCATCAAGGGCATGTGCGGGTGCACCGCTGTCATAGTCACCTCCAAAAAGGGTGCCTACATCGTACGTTGGGCTCTGATTTTCTTGAGTTCGAGTGTTTCAATTTGCTGACGGGTAGTGAATGCAGTCTCACCACTGGGAACGGCCTACCGTCATCGCCGCCTTTGAGAAGCATGGCGCGCCGACCCCGGGAGCGGCGGACGGCGAGACGGTGTTCCAGCAGGATGTCATCGAAGAGCTCCACGATGCCCTGACATGTCTTGGGTTCAACAAGAACGAGGACAAGGACGTCCAGGTGTTCATCTTTACGAAAGTCGACACGTCGTCCAGGACGGTCAAGTATGCTCCGCAGGTAGATCAGATCAAGAACAAGATTGTGGAACGGATCCCGGGGCTGTCCAAAGGCGACATCAAGGACCTGCCGTACTATACGCGCGAGTCTGTGGCCAACGCGCTGGATACAGCGGATGGCAAGGTCATCATCTCCTATGACCCCAAGGCAGGCGGCGGTAAGGCCGGGTACCAGGTATGGGCTGGTTCGGTTTACAATGCTGGAGGCAAGATTGACCCTGCCACTATCAACGCCCCTAACGGCGAGGCAACGTGGGAGCCGACAGAGGGGCAGAGGTAGTTGGGCTTTGGTTTGCGGATGATTTGAATTTTGTAACGGACGATATCAAATGTGAATTTTGTATTTTTTGTATTGAACAATGTCGAATGTGAAAATGCTCGGACCACATGTTCAAGACTTTGTGGACATGGAACAAGCTTCAGTGTGGCAATCCTTAGGGTGCCGTGCTTGTGAGGTCTTTCGCTCTCTTGCTGACAGCCTTGTAAGTCGAGGTGTATCGTCATGAGCATGTGTGCTACCTGGTTTCTCCAACGCATCATTTGCCAGCGCGCCTGCGTGTGCCAAGTTTGTCTCGATTGGGGGGCTCGAAGGAACCGGACACGTGTAACCGCCCTGACGATCGGGGCGGTGCACCACCCACGGCCGCTGGCACGTCACGTTGGCAGTGACGCTTACAGTGGGTGGCAGCCTGGAACGTCACTAAGATAAGAGGCCAGCAGCGCCCCCTCCTGGGGGCTTCTTCACGTCCCAAAGTCTACACTTGAAATTGACTGAACGACATCAAAAGTGTCACTCCAAACTTGCACCATGGAACCCCAACCCGAGGCGTCATCGCCTATCGCTCACCTGGGACAATCCCCCCTCACGGAAATCGGCCAATGCCTCGATCCCATCGAAACTCGACTCCAGTGGGCCAAGCAGGCCCTCGACGCAGGCCACGACGTCAACGAGCTCGACCTGAACACGGATTGGCGCCGAAACAAGGGCCGTCCGCTGCACTCGGCCCTGGAACACCCGGGACGGATGGACGAGATGACGGCGCACGACCGCGGCCGCAACGAGAGTCTGGACCTCGTCAAGTTCCTTTTGGAACGCGGCGCTGATCCTCGGTTGCGAGACTGCAGGGGCAAGGAGACAGCCATGGACAGGGCCCGCTGCGTGCTAGGCAGTCCCGTCGGCGACGTGGAGAGGTCATTTGTTGACGAGGCATTGCGTCTGATGGAAGAGGCGGCGCGGAAGATGGAGCGTGAGTTAACCTCTTCTCTTTTCGCACCACCAGAGCTAACGTTTTTCCAGAGAAGGAGACGACGAGCAAGGGGTTTCTTGGCGATCTCAAAGGGTTGTTGGGTCTCGGAGGACAAGAGAGGGAGACTGAATGTCTCTTTTGCCGAGAAGAAAAGTCACACAATTGGCACTACAACGTCTACGTTGGGACCACGAGGGAACATCGGATGCTCGAGGAAACAGACAGCATTAGGAAACCCGAGCCGGAGTAGAAATCCCGGCCGGAGTAAGTATGAACGCGCAAGGTATCGTTAGAAACAGATAATCGTTACGGTTCACCATGTATGGTATAGTCGTGGCCTTGTTTGAAATGATTTTGACACAATCTGGAGCTGGAGCTGTTGCGAGAGCTTCCATGGTGCTGCAAGGGTGCATCGTGAGGTAGGACTCGGCAACGAAGACTTGTACAGGCCACTGCTCTAGGCGCTCAATAAATGTCTACTAATGTGCAGTCGTACCGCTTATCGCAAGTCCAAATTTAAGCTTAGATCCATCAAGACGATCGAAAACACATGCCATGATACATGGCAATTCGCTCAGTCTGTCCCAATCTTTACCATGACTCCCAAGGATGGGATTGCCGGACCTGCCCAAAGTCATTGCTACTAGTAACGAACGTATGAAGATTATTAGCCTGTCCGTCCCCTGTCCTGTCGAACCATCGAATCGGCCAATGTATGGACGTCGTTGGTCGGCAGCATCTCGAATCTGCAGGAATCAGTTCACATGCGACCCGTATGCGCATGCAGCTTGGAGGTTTGTTCATTTGCTGGGTGCCGAATGCGCGCAAGTACGGCCGTTGGTCCCGACCATGCCATGTGAGAGGGGTAGCCCGTGTTCGCGAGATAGGTACATAAAATGGGCTGTATCCCGCGCCCATGTATGTCTGGTGAAGCCCTCTTGCTCCTTGTTTTTCTCTGTTCCTCATAGACACATCCCACTGGAATCTCATCTTGGTCAATTCGCCATGACGATGACAGTGGCATCCAGGTGGCTTTTCGGCGGTGTTGTGCTGAGCCAATTGCTCAGCTTGGCGGCGGCCGTCGACCTCCGACTCTACAATACCGATTACTCTTGCAACGGCAACAGGCTCATCTGCTCCAACATTCCCCAGCAGACATGCTGCGTCCCCCGCGTGGAGTACTACTATTCCGCGAGCTGCTTAAACTGTGACAGTGGGATGACGCACTACGGGTAAGCCGCCGCTTGCCTGGCTCACGCGACGACTCTTTCGACTCATGTGATGGCGCTGACGGCGAGTGCGAATCTAGGTGGCAGCGAGACGGCGGCATAGCCTGCAGCAGGGTCGTGGTGAGCCGCCGTGGCGGCAGCAACAATTGCATCGTGCAGTCGGGCGTGACCATCTTCGCATTGTACGGCCAGACGTGGCAGTACAACAGCAGGAAGCGCGACGGCAAGGGTGAGCGGTCCCCGTCTTGCAAGGCATCCGTGGAGCCCGACCTCGTGGAGATTGATGGCCAGTATTTCAGCTTGAACGAGACCGTGCCAGACGCGCAGAAGGATGACTTGTATGCCCTTTTCCTGAACGGGACTGCCTTGGCAGATGTGCCGAAGGAGCTGCAGGCCTTTGAGACGAATTACTATGCGGGAGAAGCTTGAGCGCATGCCGAGGGGGCAGCAAGGTGGAGGATAGGAAAAAAGACGGTTCCGACAGAAGCTCGCTCGATCTATATCACCCTACTTGCAGCAACTCTACCGTGCTTCCACCATTTCTTGTCACCATTGGGTACGTTGATTTTGCATCAGAGCCGCATAGTGTATCCATTCGAGTTAAGATCATCGGGGCCGAGCACCCTTGATTTAGGTTTCAGTGGCTGCATGCTTCGAGCCACGACTCGGTCTAAAGCCGATGTTGATGCAGACTTCTCACCTGAGGGCATTCTGTTTTTAAGATGGCTCGGAAAAAGATGCCTTTTCATATCATCGGCTTACGATCAACTTGAAGCAGTGACGCTCGTCCGTGAGAATTGTCCTATGTGATGGTGAATAAAAGGCCTTCCTGTGGCGTCAAGAGGTGCCATGAGCCAGTGCTTTTCAACGAACCGAACTCCGTGAATTTGGCCAAGGAGACATTTTGATCCCCGGGAGTTGTTCCTCGTCATCACTGGTGACGCCAAGGCCTCCATGTCACTTCTCGCGTTACCCTCTTGACGAAGGCTTGGTCAATACCTTCCCCGCCCCTGCCAAGAAGCAACCGGGAATCATCCCGAGGAGAGACGGAGTGGGGTGTGAGAATCCCGACAGGAATGCACCATCCTCCGGGGTCCCCGCAACATTGGAGTACCCCGCACAGATCCGGACACCTATGCTCGGCCCTCATCGGGAGCACGCGGGCCGCATCACGACATCTTGACGGACTCGAAACAGCCCGATCTGCCTCCTAATTCAGATCAAGGTACGTGGTACCTCCGGTAAAGAGCACTCGATCCTGTGGGCCTGATAGAAAGCCGCCGGTCAGCAGCCCTCTGTAGGCCAATTTCCACCACCGCCCCATCCGCCAAGATGTCCCTCGCAGGCAAAGTCTACGCCATCACGGGGGGCGCCAGCGGCATAGGTCTCGCGACAGCCAAGCAGATCGCCGCCCGCAGCGGCACAGTCTGCATCGCCGACGTCGACGCCAGCGCCCTCGCGCGCGCCGAGGCCTTGTTCGCCGCCCAGACGCCCGCCGCCCCGTTCGCCCTGACCAGGGTCGACGTGTCTCAGCGGGACCAAGTCGAGGCGTGGATCGGCGGCGTCGTGGCGCGCTTCGGCCGCCTCGACGGCGCGGCCAACATTGCGGGCGTCATCGGCAAGGACCACGGCGTCAAGCCCGTGGCGGAGCTGGACGACGACGAGTGGCATGCCATCATCGGCGTCAACCTGACGGGTCTGATGTACTGCTTGCGCGCCGAGCTCAACGCTGTGGCGGACGGGGGGTCGATTGTGAACATGGCCTCGATTCACAGCACGACAGGTCAGCTTTTTCTCCGCCTTGCCGGCTTTGGTTTCCTGTTTCTTCTTTTTTTTTTTTTTTTTTTTTTTTTTCATTCATTTAAACCATGTCAAGCCCCCGACTGACCCGAACCAGGCATGGCGAACCACGGCGCCTACGCGGCCAGCAAGCACGGCGTTCTCGGGCTCACGCGTGCGGCGGCCAAGGAGAACGGCGCGCGCGAGGTGAGGGTCAATGCCGTGGCGCCGGGGTCCATCTACACGCCCATGATGCAGCAGTACTGGGACGAGACGGCGAGGCCGGCGGACGCGCCGTTCAGCGAGCCGTCGGCCATCCAGAGGCTGGGCACAGCTGACGAGGTGGCCAACGTGGTCTTGTTCCTCCTCGGCCCGGAGAGCACGTTTGTCAGTGGGGCGATGTATTCTGTCGATGGGGCGTGGCTTTGAGGCGGCCGCAGATGGGACCTAAGAGATATCGGAACCATCTAGAGGTCTACAGTTCGATCCGGGATTCACTCGGCGGAATAGGTTGATGTGAATGTGCACAAGCGCATCGTCGCCAAACGGAACACATCTGTAGTCACCCTCGCAGCCAAGTGCCGTAGTATTCAAGCCGAATCGTAGACTCATAGAGATCCCCCCCCAAAGGCCATATCCGTGCATGCTCGCCGATGAAGCAAAAAAACCACCTGTAGCCACTGTTCAAAAACACCATAGCCCAAAATTACACAGCCACTCAGTAGATTCTCGTCAGACTCGGGCGAACCCATTGGACAACCTCACACCTCTGTTGTTGGCGCCACTCTGCTATCCTCTCCGACAGCCATCCACTCTGGAAGCTGCCGCCCTTGTGCTTGTCCGTCTCCTTCTCGGCGTCGCGCGCGTGGACCAGCCGGATGAACTGGTAACACTGTCACCGTGCCAGTTGGCAGTTTTACTGGGGGCAGCGGAAGGTCCTGGGGGGGGGCGCGTGACGTCAAGAGTGCGGTTTGGGGGGCCTGATGATAAGAGCCCCTGTATTTGCCTTATTTTTTGTTGTTTTGGGTTCGGTGGTGGTATCTGTGTGTTGGGGTGGGTTTTGGACTGCGAGTGGGGAGGCAAGCAGGAGTGGATGGG